CTCCCCTCCCCCGTCCCCTCTCCTCTTCCCTCCCCTCCCCTGTCACCTCTCCTCTTCCCTCCCCTCCCCTCCCCTCTGCCTTGCCCCCTTCTCCCCTGCCCCCGCTCCTCTCTTCCCCTCTCCTCTCTCTTCTTTTTCTCTTCTCTTCACTTTTGTTCCTTTCCTTTTTCCCTTTTCTTTTCTCTTCTTTCCTTTCCTTTTCCTTTTTGAATCTCACTGTCACCAAGAGCAGAGTGCAGTGGCAGGATTATAGCTCACTTCAATCTTGAACTCCTGGGTTCAGGCCATCCTCCTGCCTCAGCCTCCTGAGTACCTGGGACTACAGATGCCCCCCACCATACCTGACTAATATTTTTGTTGTTGTTTTGGTTGTAGTTTGCTTGTTTGTTTTTTGAGAAGAAGTTTCGCTCTGTTGCCCAGGCTGGAGTGCAGTGGCGCAATCTCAGCTCACTGCAACCTCCGCCTCCCGGGATCAAGCTATTCTCCTGCCTCAGCCTCCCAAGTAGCTGGGATTACAGGCATGCACCACCACGCCTTGCTAATTTTTTTTTGTATTTAGTAGAGATGGGGTTTCACCATGTTGATCCAGCTGGTCTTGAACTCCTGACCTCAGGTGATCCACCCGCCTCCGCTTCCCAAAGTGCTGAGATTACAGGCATGAGCTACTGCACCAGACCTACCTGACTAATTTTTAAATTTTTTGTAGAAGTGAAGTCTCCCTGTGTTGCCCAGGCTGGTTTCAAATTCCTGGGCTCAAGCAGTCCTCCTACTTTGGCCTCCCAAAGTGCTGGGATTACAGAAATGGGCTACCATGCTCAGCCATAGTTTTCCCTTAAAATGCAACTCTGCTGCCACTTTCTTACTCTTGCCCTTTCTTTTAAGTTTGTCGCTCACATCAGTCCTGTGACTTTATTGAGGATAGTTGCTCAGTCTTGTTTTTCTTTCTTTAAACTTTCCTCTTACAGAAGGTGTTCAGTCTTAAATATCTCCATCCTTAATATCTAATATAATACCTGGAATATAAGTGCTTAATAAATGTTTGGATGAATTTATTGATGCTACAGGCAATAGATTTTGGGCAGCTTAAAAATAGACTTTTAAACAAAAATATCCAGATTTCATTTCAAAATAATTGGGTGCTGGGGAGGTGCTTAGTGAAGTGGTAGGAATATAAATGAGCTAAGGGATACTGGTCTCTACTTTTGTATATATTTGAAATATTCCATAATACGTAGAGAAACGTAAGTTCTCTATCTGACAGTTTTCAGAAAGACTGATTAACTATATGGGCATGAAGGATCTTATAGACAGGTTGAATATTAAATAAATGTTAAATTTAAAGCTACTAAGGACTCTCCTGAGAATGTTGTATTAAAAAAGAAGACAGGGAAAGTGGAGACAGAGGTAGAAAGTTATTGGTGCATTGTTGATATAATCAATAAGAAAGGTGGGAGATTGTAATAAATATTGTTACCTAGACACTACTTCATAAATCTTAAAAGTTCTGAGTAATCTATTCTCTTTAAAAATATATTATAGAAGTGTGCTGTCTGACCCAGTAGCCACTAACCATATCTATTTATATTTAAATTTTATTCAGCCTAAGTAATTAAAAATTTGGGTCCTTGGGTATACAAGCCACATTTCAAGTGTCTAGTAGAACATATACATCATCACAGAAAGTTCAGTTGGAGAGGACTGCTCTAGAAGACAGAAAGAAAATAAAATAATGAATTTTAAAAACTCTAAAAAAAGTAGCCCTAAATAATCTTCATTTACTAACTAATGAAAAAGAAAGTAATCTTGGGTAAGAAAGAGAAGGATTGTGGCTAGTATTCCAGCAATATTCTAGAAGAAGAAATATTTTGTTCACAGATTACTTAGGGAATTACTTGTATGTCATTGATTGTTGGGTTCATGTTTTTCAGATCTTGCCTTTTCAATGAAAGCTTTTGTCATCAAATTTCAGAAAATATTGGCTCCAAGGTGCTCCACCTGACGCTGCTCAAATTTTTCTTTAATTTAATTGAAAGTGAAGTACAATATCTGAGTCAAAAGTAAGTTTTAATTGCAAAAATAACACTTTTCGAAATTTCTGTTGTTTTTATGCACCATTTTTTTTTACAATTATTAAAAATATATTTCTAAAAAGTCACCTTGTTTTATATTTTAAAGTAGATTTGTTTTTAAAACATATTTCTAGATAAGAGTGAAGGTTTATATGCCCCTTTAAAAAATTTCCTCAGTTCACTTCCACTGTTAATTTGGATGGATATAAGAGTGTTTTCATTTTTTAGGATTTAAAAAAAATTCTTTAGTAATTGAATGCTAAGTAGAAAACTACACCAATTTTAAACACTGAGCCTACAATGATAAGTTTTACTCCTGCTCTAAAACTTGCAGGTAGATTACTGTGTATATATACATTGTCAATGACTTTATTGAACTGAGGCCATTTTTTATATTTTGTCCTTTATTATAATTGTTATAATCTTTATATTTTATGATCTATGTTCAAAAATTGCTAGCATTTTTTTTGACAGAGATGTCAAGTAATTGTCATGATCAAATTGGCTTAAAGGTACACTTTTTGTTTATATTTTAATTAGGTTGTATGACTGGTCAGATTCTCAGAATCTGAAAATAACAGGAAAGGCAATGCTTCTTGAAATTTTTTGGTCAGGAAGTGAAACCTCTGGGCTTTTGACCAAACCAGTAAATATGCTTTTGGAATGGACTATATATTCTCACAGGGAAAAATGCAAGTCTAATGATGTAAGTAGGATTAATTTATAGATGAATAGTCTATGGAAAAAGCACTTGCAATTATTTACCTTTTCCTCTCCCCTTTTTTCTTTGGATCACTTGAAAATAATTAAAATGTACCCAAATATATCATTGTTTTCTATTTAAGTTATCTAGTTTTAAGGTAAAAGGCCCTTGGAGACTGGTTCCTTCATCATCTCACGTTTGCATGTAGTTGAGTTATTTGATAGTTACTGCTAAGAAATCTCTAGTTACTAACCTTTGTAGATTTTTTACTTTTGTACAATTTGATTCATGAAGAACTTAAGATTTGAAAATAAATGAGTCAATCCATACAATTTTTGGGGGGTACTAATAAATACTAATGTGTATTAGTATTATTAGTATTATTTTAAAACTACCTTTTTTGATGTTGAGTTATTTTCTGAAATATTTCTTTATAAGTCGATTTTGCCTGTCATTAGAAATTTAACATATAGTGATTTTAGTGTATTATCCGTCTCATGGATAACAGTGTATAGCAACATAACTGTGGCACATTTTGGTTGCATAATAAGTATTAGTCACCTTTTTCCTTTTCAGAATGATCTCCCTTTGGAAATATATTTTCTACTTTTTTGTGTTATTCATTTCTGCTCTTTTATTTATTTATTTATTTTACTTTCTCTTCTATCTTCTTGAATCTTTTTTTATTTTTAGTCTTCATTTCTAATACATGCACTTAATATAAATTACCTATTGAGTACAACTTGACATTCATTTCATAGTTTGATACTTTACCCTAGAGTGCTCTGTTTTTTTCAAAGTATTTTCTATTGTTAATTTTGATTTCCCTCTTTGATCCAAGAGATATTTTTAAAAGGTGTTTTAAGATTTCTAAATAGATGGGTTTTGTTTGTTTGGCTGTGCTTTTTTTTGGTTAGTTTCTAATAGTGAATTATAGTTAAAGAATGCACCTTATGCAATTTCTGCTTTATGAAATTTACTGAAGTTCTCTTTTTGGCTCCATATAAGACCAGGAACCAGAATGTGTTTTTTCTGTTGGGTTGGATCAAACTTAATAATTGTTTTAATGGCCGGGCGCGGTGGCTCAAGCCTGTAATCCCAGCACTTTGGGAGGCCGAGGCGGGTGGATCACGAGGCCAGGAGATCGAGACCATCCTGGCTAACATGGTGAAACCCCGTCTCTACTAAAAATACATAAAATTAGCCAGGCACAGCGGCGGGCGCCTGTAGTCCCAGCTACTCGGAGGCTGAGGCAGGAGAATGGCGTGAACCCGGGAGGCGGAGCTTGCAGTGAGCGGAGATCGCGCCACTGCACTCCAGCCTGGGTGACACAGCGAGACTCCGTCTCAAAAAAAAAAAAATAATAATAATTGTTTTAATCAATCCTTCTGAGTCGACTTTGTTGATTTGCTGATCTATTTAAGTTTCTACTTTATATATGCTAATGTCACCTTATTATTCTTAACAGATATATCATGACTACTAGTTATGATCCTATAATTGCTAGTTAGGTAATATCTTTTTCAGGGATCGTAAGCATAGTAGTTAGGGTGGAGAGCTCAGTTATCAAACTAACATGAAGTCTATTCTGTCTTAACGAAACTGCTTATGTAGTTTCTAGTCAAATACTTCCTCAGATCCATTTTCTCTTCTCTACTTTTTAAATTACCGTTAAACTTACATTATACCTTTTCTTCATATTCTCTATTTTTCACCTTATATTTCCCTCTCCCTTTCTTTCTCTCTCCCTCTCCCTCTTTCTCTCCCTCTACCATTTCCCCTCTCCTTCTCTCTCTCCCTCCCTCCCCCACTCCCATATAGATACATTTTTTTCTATACTTGCCGCATTCTGGATAGTATTTTCATCCAGTTTTTAGTTCATTAGTTCTTTCTTCAGCTGTGTCCAATATATTGTTAAACATGACCATTTCATTTAAATTTTGTGTATTTTTTTCCAGGTAATAGACTTTTTAACTGTTCCAAACCGCTATGACTTGGTTTTATGGGTTTCAAGGTTTTCTTTTGTCTTTAACATGGCAATGACATTTATAATCTATGCTTGATTATTCCATATCTGAAGTCTTTATAGGTCTGTTTCTGTTGTTGTTTTTTGCTGTTTCCTTCTCTTGTGCTTTTTTATTTTCTCTTGCAAGCTTGTTATTCACTATATGCTTTTAAATTGCATTTGAAAAGTTATTTATAGAAACAATATGTGATAAACACCAGAATATCTTCCCTCAGAAAGAATTTCTGTTGAACTTCTGCCAAGGGCCTCGGTGCACCACTAGTTAAGGACTATTCTAATCCAATGTCTATGTTTGGGGGACTCTAGATGGTTCAAATGAAGTAAAGTGCTCCATATACATTTAGTTTTGCTTCTGATTCATTCTTCCCATGAGGATGAAGCCCTTCACTTTTTCATCCTATGACCGATTAGGTTTTGGCCATGACTTTTCTTTTTTTTTTAAATCTTTTTTTCCCCTGTGCTCCAGAAACCACAGTTCTTATTCTAGATTCTTCCTTAAAATCAGTGAAAGTCCTCAGGGCAAAGTCAGGTATCTTTGAGTGGCTCACATGGGTACCTCACTAGATCTTGGCGTAGCAATTTCTCATAATTTATTGTCTTTTTTTTCTGAAATGTTTTGCATATTTCATTTAACATTTTTAGTTTTAGTGTTCTTCTCTAAGTGGGATCAACTGAGGCCAGGTGCAGTGGTTCCCGCCTGTAATCCCAGCACTTTGATAAACTGAAGTGGAAGGATTGCTTGAGGCCAGGAGCTCAAGACCAGTCTGAGCAACATAGTGAGACCCCCATCTCTACCAAAAAAAAAACCCAAAAAAACAAAAAAACAAAACACAGGTGTGGTGGTATGCACATGTGTTAGTTTTAACTACTTGAGAGGCTGCTGTGGGAGGATTGCTTGAGCCCAGGAGTTGGAGGCTGCAGTGAGCTATGATTGTGCCACTGCATTCCAGCCTGGGTGACAGAGTGAGACCTTGTCTCTAAAAAAAAAGGTTCATCTGAATTACCTAGGCCTTCATTAGAAATAGAAGTTCTTGCTGATTTTTTAAAAAATTCTTTTCAGTTGTCTGAGACAGGAAAATAGAAGTTCTTTTTGAGGTACTAATTTTTTTTTTTTCTAAATCAGCATTAAAACGGGAAGATTGCTCATGAGTGTAGCTAGATTTCTTTGATCAAGTAATCCTATTTAACAACAAACAGGTGAGTAGGCACTGTCTTGTGCATGTATCTGATTTAAAAGGAAGTATGATTTTGCAAATTACAGAAATTGAAAATACTCAGCTGAAATAGGCTACTATTTACACCTCATTGCCAATTGAGTATAGCACTTTTAAGCTAAAGCTGATAGCGTCTTTATAAATTACCATCTGTCTTTTTATTTACTTTTTATACAATGCAATCATTAAGGATAGAAAATGTCTTCATTATAGAACATTTTTTTTTCATTCGTTTGATTACATAAATGAAATTGCTCATTTATAATTGAGAACAATAAACTGATGTTTTCACAATTTTACTAAGTCTTCAAAGGACTATCACAGATAAGAAATTACTTAAGCTCTGATGTAAACAATAACAGATTTATACATATTTAACTTCAAGATTTTTGTTCAAACTTATAAATAAAAGCAACATATTTGTGAAGCAGTCTGCAATAAATTGTAGCATTGTAATATGAGAACTGGTTTTAAATTTTGCAAATTAATATTTAACATTTGAATTGCTTAAATGGATATAAAACTGCTTTTTAAAAATTGTTTTACCTTTCTGCTAGAATTCATTCTTGTACTTAATTAAATCTTTTTGGCAGTTTGCAGTTTCAAGAATTCCATGCATGTTCACAGACATCATTTTCTGTACTGTAAAGCATTTGTTTCTTGATTTGCTGAGTTGAAGTATTCAATTTAAGTCATTAGCTAAACAGAAGTCCTCAGTTTATGCTAATATTGTTTTGTCATAATGTCAATCAGCAAGTATTGCAGAGTGACACAATGGCAGTGAATTTCATTGTCATTAATCTGAGAAAGCGTTGGACTTTCCTTGGCAAAGAGCAGAGGTGGGCTGTGTCAAGGTTATGGAGGAGGTACAATTTTTACTAGTCCCACTTTTCTTTGAGATGTTCTTAAGTGCTATTGATAATTCTACAATATAGGTAGAAGTGTAAGCTAGTTTACATTAATAGATAAGAAAGTTGATAAAGAGTTTGAATAACTTATTCAAGGTGTCACAGCTTGTTAGAGCAAAGCCTTGACTAGAGGCCAAGTCTCCACCGCACCACACTTTCTCATGTTTCAAATGCCAGTGTTTAAAACAGGAAGAGGCACAGTGTGTGCTTTATGTTTCCATCTTTCCAAAAGAGTAGTTTGTCACGTATTACAGTGGGATATCATGGAAATCCCTAATCTGGGAGTCAGAAGGCCAAGATGCTAGTTTGTTCTACATTACAGATTAGTCAAGTTTTGGAAGATTGCCAATTTTATAAACTAGAAGTTACCTCTACTGGCAGATGATACAGAACCGTATTGACAGAATGTCTGGTTATAGAGTTTAACATATTAGAAAGGAATTCTAAGGTAGATATATATCATATATGCAAAATCTTGTCTACCTTTTATTTCTTGGTTAATTCTTAGGGTATTCCTGTTCTCGTCTGTCAGCTTTAACAAATATTTCAGTATTCCAAGAAAACTGCTTTCCTTTGATGATTTATTTACTATTTTCTTAGTAATCTATTTCTAAAGCTTATATGTCCACTATACTAGAAGGAATAGCATTGTTGATGTATTGTTAAAGTGGCAGTGAGTATAATCCATAGCACACTGTCTTGGCCCTATTATTGTTATGAGTGTGATAGTTAAGATTATGGTATGAAAGGATCTAAGAACTTGACTTGAAAGTGTCTTTTCATATAAAAACTTGCTATTATCGCCGTGTAGTAGTGTGCATGTTTAGCTAATGACATGAAAACAAGAATAACTTTGGCAGGATCTTTTTTATCATAGTAAAAAAGCTATAGTTATTCTTCGAAATCACTGCAAGACCTCTTCCCTCTCTCTAATAACATTAATATCAAGGTAAGTTTAATATTAAGCAATATATTAATATTCTATTGTGATTTTAACTGTATGTACGACATACTTATATAAGGAAAGAGGGAAAGTCCCAACTGGTTGTTTTTTTTGTTTGTTTGTTTAGTGTTGTTTTTGATTGATAGAAAGCTGGATTGTGTTTTTATATAAGGCTTCACTCTGTGGGCTAACATTCTTCTTTCCTGCCCAGGATCTTAGAGCCTGGGTGGTCTAAAGTGATCTTGATTTATTATACCCTTGAGATGGAGAATACTTTCAGAAATCAAAATTTACCAACCTCTTGCTTCTTTCCTGAGTACTGTCATTGCTGATATTCAGATACATGTTATATTGGAAGGAACATTTTGTGGATGCATATGTGCATATGGACATAATCAATTTAGTAGTTTAAATATATATTTTCACTGTTCTGTTTTATATTCTCTTGATAACAGTGAGAAGTAAGGATTAACTAACTTGCTCAGAGTGATCAAGCAAGATACTGGCTTTACAAAGAATGGAGTTGATTTCCTGCAGTGTTTTCTGGAGACTAGCAGTAGACCCTAGTCCTGCCAATCACACCAGGGGAGGTGTTGGTGCTACTTATGTGACCAGAGCTACTGCTAGTTTCCCATGCCATATAGCCACAACTGCAAGGCTTATACTCAACTCTCTTATCAAGGCAGGAGACTGGGTGGGATTGACAGCCACCTGTGAAGCCTCACCTGCTAGAATCTGGCTGGCTGTCTTGGCCCCTGATCATGTCAGAAGAAGAGCACCGCTTTCTTAATCATGCAGCTTTTAAAAATCTCCTCAGCTCCACACTTGAGGGTCTCTCTCTCCTAGATTCTAATGTCTAGCCCTACACGAATGCAGTATGCTGCCCCTGATGTGATAGGACAACAGAGGACCTGCACACATGCTGCTGGTCCTGACTATGTGTTTTCCTTCCATAAATACTGTTCTGGCAAGCTGGTTGTGTGTGCTGCTGGACCATTTGCTTATGTTTGCACAATAAACCAAAAATTGAACTTTGGTTTTGAAATCATTTATCTGCTAGCTAGAGCTAGTAGATATGGAATGATATCCCAATGAAATATTGAATGTACATATAAGAAATTTGTTTGCTGAGGGCATGAGAAACAAATCCAGTAGTCACTGAGGGTTCAGAGTGCTGGGGATTTCTTTCTCACTAATCCCATATTAGGCATCATATATGCTAGTTTGGTGTGTAATATATAACTAATACACTGAAATACACATGATTCTGTAATATATAACATAATAACATAATGTACTATTTATGAGTGTGTTAGTTTAGATTATAGTATAGAAGGATCCAAGAACCTGATTTGGAAGTGCCTTTTATATAAAAACTTACTATTCTAATCCATAAAATTCCATGTAAACTGTGAAGACAAAGTGTGAAAATAATATTTTAAAAACACCTTTGATTTAAATATAAACACTTTTTCAAAACATTAAACCAGCTGAAATTCTTATGTTCCTGTTATTTGTCATCTAGGCTTGTTGGATATGCGAAAAAATCACTAAGCAGTTGGGTAAAAGGCATGTGAAAAGGTTTTAATAAATATTATGATAATAGATTAGCTTATTAGTAATGTTAGATCTATTCGTTATAGATCAGGTTCTTAGATCCTTTTATACTGTAATCTTAACTATTACACATGAACAGTAAGTTATGTTATATATTATGTTATACTTATGTTATTTAAGCATAATATATGCCTAATATGGGATTAATGAGAAAGAAATTAGATGGGAGAACATAGTTATAATCTGTTACTGTAGCATTTATTAAAACGTCATATGCCTTTTACCCAACTATTAGTGATTTTTTTCCTACATATCCAACATGCCTAGACAACAAATAACAGGAACATAAGAATTTCAGCTGGTTTTAATGCTTTGAAAAAGCATTTGTATTTCAATCAGTGGTGTTTTTAAAATTTTATTTTCACACTTCTTCATCTTCATAGTTTCTACTGAATTTTAGAGATTAGAAAAATACTTTCAAACACTAGGGTAAAGCACACTTAGAAGGCTTGTATGCCTTGTTACATTTCTTATAAGAATTTAATGATATTTATTATGAAAGTAATCATATAAAATGATATACTTTTTTTTTTTTTTTTTTTTTTTGAAACGGAGTCTCACTCTGTCGCCCAGGCTGGAGTGCAATGGCGCAATCTCCTCTCACTGCAAGCTCCGCCTCCCGGGTTCACGCCTCAGCCTCCTGAGTAGCTGGGACTACAGGCACCCGCCACCACGCCCGACTAACTTTTTGTATTTTTAGTAAAGATGGGGTTTCACTGTGTTAGCCAGGATGGTCTCGATCTCCTGACCTCATGATCCGCCCACCTTGGCCTCCCAAAGTGCTGGGATTACAGGCGTGAGCCACCGCACCCAGCCAATGATATACTTTTAAAACTGATTTCTACATCTCTAAGTTGGGTAATTAGTATTTGATATATAATTAAATAAAAATTTGAATCAGTATATTATAGCAAATGAATAATCTTGTTTACTAGAGCTTTTATTCATCGAGTTTCTCAGGTCTTTCTGGAAAATGTCATATAGAGAAATGTAAAGAATAATTCTATATATAAACAGTGGGGGTAGATAAATCTATCTTTTATAGTCATATCTCTCCTATTTATAAAAATCTACAAAAACCAGGTATTTTCTCATTATTTTAATGGAATTATTGCCTGACAAACTTGATAGGTTGGATGAAATTAAAGTTTATTCTGAACTGTTAAGATATAGGTCCCTGGAAAATTTGCTTTATTAACTCTTGTCATGTGGAGAGAAAGATGGAGGGGAGAGAATTAGTTAGCTAGAGTTCTTAAGAATGCCTTTTATCATTACATACCCTGTATTTTTAAATAACTATGTTTTGCCCCTCAAAACATATTCAAAATAAATACTAATAGAAATTCAATATTGTAATATATATTGGTAATTTTTTTGTATCTTAATGTCAGGTCTTCAAACATGAACTAGCTTACTTATTGACTGGAATTCTTGGAGCAGCAATAGATTATTGGATTTTCCTTGGTCTTAAGAGGGGTAGAAATGTGATGCAACACATGTCTGATGACTTAGGAAGTTATATTTCTCTTTCGTGTGATGGTAAGTTTATCTATGTTCTGTTTTTTTCAGACCCATTCTGGAAGTCAGTTTTGATTTTCTTTTAAGCAGTCTGTAAGCTTTAACATATGCTCATTTGAAGCTTTCCTTGAAATTGTTATGGATACATGCACAGATAGATACAGACAGACAATATAAAGAGAAAGACTTAAAGTACCCTTATTGTTCCAACACAGGTAACTGTTGTTAACTTTTTAATGTCTTTCTGGTATTTCTAAGCATTTTTGTATAGTTGAATTCATACTGTATATGTAATTTTGCATTCTTATTTTCCTCTAAACATTACAGGAGACTTCCCCCCACATATATTTATTATTCAAATATAATTATTTTGCTTGGTGCAGTGGCTCACGCCTATAATCCCAGTCTACTTTGGGAAGCCGAGGTGGGAGGATCTCTTGAGCCCAGGAGTTTGAGACCAGCCTGTGGAACATAGCAAGACTCAGTCTTTTTTTTTTTTTTGAGACGGAGTCTTGCTCTGTCGCCCAGGCTGGAGTGCAGTGGCAGGATCTCGGCTCACTGCAAGCTCCGCCTCCCGGGTTCACGCCATTCTCCTGCCTCAGCCTCCCGAGTAGCTGGGACTACAGGTGCCTGCCACCTCGCCCGGCTGGTTTTTTTGTATTTTTTTAGTAGAGACGGGGTTTCACCGTGTTAGCCAGGATGGTCTCGATCTCCTGACCTCGTGATCCACCTGTCTCGGCCTCCCAAAGTGCTGGGATTACAGGCTTGAGCCACCGCGCCTGGCCAAGACTCTGTCTTTTAAAAAAATTTTTTTTAATTGCTGGGCATGGTGGCGTATGCCAGTAGTCACAGCTACTCTGGAGGCTGAAGTGGGAGGATCCCTTGAGCCTAGGAGTCCAAGGCTGCAGGGAGCCATGATTGTGCCACTGCACTCTAGCCTGGATGACAGAGCAAGACCCTGTCTCTTTAAAAAAACAAACAAAAACTTGCTACTATTTTTCCCCATTGAATCTGGTGCTCTAACAAGAAATGAACATGGGTGAAGCAAACAGAAGTAATTTATATGGATAATTTTTTTCACTCTTCCTTTTCCCCATTACCTACTTTAATGTCTCCCCTAAAATAAAGGGGGAAGGGAGTGTTATTTAAGAAAATGGTGGCAGAACTCATTTCACAAGTTGAAAAGTTCTACCCAATTGTTTGGGCCTCTAGACTGAAGGCGGCTTCCGTAAAGACCTTACGTAGATTCCCAAACTCCATAGGCAGTTTAGGAAGAGTCTTGGTCTATCCTTCCCTTTTTTTTTCTTTATTTATTTCTGTAATCCTTAATTCCTGAAATGAATACATTTTAAACCAAGTAAGTTTTTTGTGATTCTTAGCTATAAAAGATGACTTTTATATACTTTTATATACTTGATATTTTAAACTGCCAAATAAGTACTCTGCTACACATGTGTTTCAGTGTATCTTGATTTTATATAAAGAAAACATTCTTCAGTATGCTGTCAATCACTTTAATACTTTGAAGAGAGACTTCAGAATAGGAATCCAGGTTATAACTGGGTTCAGGATTTATTCGATGATGCCTCTGCAGAGAGAGTTCTCTTTTTATACTACCAAAGAAGATTTTTATCTGAAGCATTTTAGATAAATCTTTTTTTCTTTCTTTTTCATTGAGCTGAGGGGGTGATTACAGTTCCCTTTGTGGACTAGCTGTCCTTTGTTGCATGACTTTAACATTTCTTAGCTAACATTCAATCTTCCTGCAGAACCCTCTCTTACATTTCTTTCCCACCATTCCTACTAGGTAGTTTAGTGGTTTTTATCCTTTTCAAAAAACAGAATCCTGGCATTATTTTCTAGATTGGGAACTAAGCATTTGACTGACGGAATTTCCTGTTTTCATTCCTTAATGAAATTTGAGTTTGGAGACCTAGTAGAGGATTAGCAGTGGCTTTAGAGATTATCAGTATAGTTATATGTCTTGTTTCCAATACATAGTAATTGCCCTTAAGGAATTATAATTTATCTTATAGTTTAGTCAAATGCATGAAATATAATAAGCCTTGTATTAAAAGGATTCTATTACCTGTTATACATCTGCTTCAGTGCTTTCTTCACTAATATTCTGAGTTTCCCTTCACTTTAAAGCAGGACATTGTTATCCAATGTTATTTTCAGTTTTTACGTGACAAGTGTAAAACCCAGAACTTTGATTCTGTGAGTAATATGAACTTAAACTGAACCTTAGTGTTACTATTATGATCCTGTGAACAGATTATTTTGCTCCCGAAGATCTATTAATATATTTGATCACTAACATTCAAAACTTTAGATGAGATTTAAATTGTCACTATTGAAAAGTATTTTTAAGCCTTTTTCTTTACCTTTCTCAAAATGTACACGTGTGCGCGTGCACATGCGCACACACACGGTTGCTTAGGCTTCAAATTCGGTTATAGGTAAGCAATTTAGAAGTTTTAAACATTATTTCTTTTTTCTCTTTTTTTTGAGACCTAGTCTTACTCTGTCCCCCAAGCTGGAGTGCAGTGGCATGATCTTGGCTCACTGCAGTCTCTGCCTCCCCGGTTCAAGTGATTCTTGTGCCTCAGCCTCCCGAGTAGCTTGGATTACAGGTGTGTACCACCACGCCTGACTAACTTTTTGTATTTTTAGTAGAGATGGGGGTTTCACCATGTTTGCCAGGCTGGTCTCAAACTGCAGACCTCAGGTGATCTGCCCACCTCAACTTCCCAGGTGCTGGGATTACAGGTATGAACCACTGCGCCCAGCCAAAAGTTTTAAACATATATTTCTAAAAATCATTCAAATTAGTATTTTTCTATTTTCTGTCTAGTTTTTTTCTTTTCTGTTAGTGCAGGTTGATGTTTAACCTTTGTCAAGAGACAGAAATAAAGTGAACATTTTATCATAAACCAATAGCCTCCATCCTGAGGGACAGAGTAAGACTCTTCTCAACAACAACAAAAAATAATGTTTAAACTTTTAAATTGCCTAGCTATAACCAAATTTGAAGCCTAAGCAACCAACTGTGTGTGTGTGTACACACGTGTACACTTGGAGAAAGGTAAAGAAAAAGGCTTAAAAAATACTTTAGTGACAATTTAAATCTCATCTAAAGTTTTGTATGTTAGTGATCAAATGTATTAATAGATATTTGGGAGCAAAATAATCCGTTGACAGAATTAGTAACACTAAGGTTGAGTTTAAGCTCATGTTAGTCACACACACAATCAAAATTCTGGGGTGTTGTAATAATGTTCGTTTTGTTCATATTTTGATGAAGAACTTTAAAATTCATTGTCTGCCACCTCTTTTTTTTCCTTATTTCTTTTCTCTGCTGATATTCCTTTCTTTTTTAAAAAAAAAATCATTTATTTTTGCATTATTCTTCTACTCAGTTATTATCTTTTGCTTTTCCCAAGTCATTAGTAAAGATGTTATAACTTCACTGTTATGTAACTTCCAGTTGAAAATATCGATCCATCTTTCTCAATTATGGTAAACTGGATGTTCTGATTTTTGCTAGTTCAGAAGTACAAAATTCATACTGTGACACTACTCAGATTCACATCTATCAAATTCATTTCAGTTTAGTGTAATTTTTAGTTCATAATTGTTTTGTCAAGAATTAAGGCAACAGATATTTTAGAAGATAAATAAAATTTTTTCCATCATATCTCATATTCATCAGTTCCATATAGATGCCACTCTGTTATTTCTGAACACTTTGGACAGAAATCTTCTTTTCTGTATTTTAAGGTCAAGTTATCTGAAATTTCTTTTTTATGCCTACTTGAAATTCCTTATGTAGTGGCTTAAACTACAGATTAACAAACTGTTCAATGTTAAGTACCAGACAGTAAATATTACTGGCTTTTTAGGCCTTACAGTCTCTTCAGGCCACTCAACTTTGCAGTTTTTAGTAAGAAAGCAACCATACACAATACATAGACAGCATGACTGTGTTCCAGTAAAACTTTATTCGTAAAAACAGGCAGCACACCACAGTTTGCCCATCCTGACTTAAACATATTTCTCCTCCAATTGTTTCAGTGGGAAAGAAGACATCATCAAAATTTACTGTAGTTTTTTTTCTCATATCTTTGTAGAACTTTAATAAAACTTCCCTTTCTTAGATTACATCATTATTTCCTGATAAATACTTTTTCCAAACCTTTATTCACTTTTGCTTTATCTTTTAATTTCTTTCCATGCTTCAGACCTCAAAATGTAAATGTTTATGTGTCATTACTAATTCTCAGCCAAAATGTTTCTGTTCTCTTCGTTTATTCAGCAAAATTTTATTGGCATTCTACCAGGCATTGAGCTAAACACTTTTCTATACAGCGGAAGAGGGAAACAAAACATGGTCCTTGTGGTTTTTTTTTCTTTTTTAACTTTAAGAGAGATAAACTGTAAAGTTAATATAAATATGTCATTTAAAATAAGTGCTCTGAACAGGAAAAACTAGGTGTTGAGATTGGTGAACTTACTTTTATACTGCATGTCCATGGAATGCAGAACGTGAAGAATAAGTAGAAGTTTGACAGGACGAGTGTTTTTAGTCAGAAGGTAACATTTACCAAAACTCTGAATAGGAAAGAAGGCCTGTTTGAGACCTTCTGGTGCCTGGCTGATGGGAAGAGAGGCCAGAATAAGGCCAAAGAACGGTTAAGGGAGTTTGTGTAGGGATTTGTAAGCCTTGTTAAGGAGTGAGAAGCTGTTGAAACAAGGGAGTAGCATGATCTCATTAACTTGATTTAAAAAGATGGTCCTGGCTTGGCTCTCTATTATGAGTTATTGGTATCTGCTAACCGTTCATTCATTCATCTGTCAAATACTAAATGTTTACTCTGTACAGATTAATGACCTATATACTGTAAGGGCTACCAAGTATGACCCTTCTCTTAAAGTTGTTACAGTCCACGGGCTAATTTTCTTGTGTTCTCCTGTTCATCTTTTTTTTTTTTTTATTCCCCTTGACTTTGTGACCTGGTAATATATGGATCTGTCATATTAGTACTTTGTATTCCTTATATCTATAAGCCTATCAGATATGATCCTTATTAGATAAATAACCCCATTTGTAAATTTCAATGTGAGACCAACTCTTTTGAACTCTGCAAGTTATTTCTGCTTTGCTTTTGCCTCTGTCTAAAGTTCTTATGTTAAGAGATCAATTGGTTGCAGTACACTAAAAAAGAAAGTAGGCTTTTTAATGTATATAATTAGAGATTAAATGTTCATATTATCTTTTGATTCTTATCCTTCAGTTTACTGCTTGTACATTTTTAGATAATATTAACAGAGCCTCAGTAGTAGCAAGAAAACTGATTGTAAGTAATTCTTTTCTCCTTTCCAACTCAAAAAAATTGTATCTTGGCCGGGCACAGTGGCTTACACCTATAATCCTAGCAGTTTGGGAGACCAAGGTGGACGGATCACAAGGTCAGGAGATTGAGACCATCCTGGTTAACGCGATGAAACCTGTCTCTACTAAAAATACAAAAAATTAGCCGGGCGTTGTGGCGGGTGCCTGTAGTCCTAGCTACTTGGGAGACTCAGGCAGGAGAATGGTGTGAACCTGGGAGGCGGAGGTTGCAGTGAGCCAAGATCGCGCCTCTGCACTCCAGCCTGGACGATACAGCAAGACTCTGTTTCAAAAAAAAAAAAAAATTGTATCTCTGTAGAGGCCATATTGGAAGGGATTATCTAAATTCAATGATAATATTATATTATCTCTTTGGGGTTAGTTGTATCTGGTTAACATCAGACCTGAAGCCAAAGGTTTAAACACTCCTTATAACAAGCTGCCACAAGGCAAGGGCATCAGATCTCTTTAGTCAGGGCAAGTTTCTCAGCCTGCGTACTGATTATGTTTTGGGCTGGATAATTATTTGTTGTTGGGGCTGTCCTGTGTATTGTAGGCTGTCCTGTGTATTGTAGCATCCTGGGCCTTTGCCCACTAGATGCCAATAGCATCCCCTTCCCCGGTGTGGCAACCAGAAATTAACAAATGTTACCTGAGAGCAAATCCTCCCTTACTTCTCCCATCCACTCTTGAAAATCAGAGTCAAGGGTCAAGGACTACAAGACACTAGATCCCCAGCCTTTTATGAAGGCATCTGAGCAGGACATTGACTGGGTGTCTGCATTCTCTTCGCCCTGAAAGAATTCCATCCCGAATAGAGAGGCCAGCTTTTATGCCTTATACTGCTATTAAGTTTATCATTGTCTGATTTTGAAACTATATTTTAACTTAATGCTTACAATTTTAATTCTTCTCTTCTGTTTATTATGTTTATTTTGCTAATTGTATTGACTTATTCTTTATTCTTCCAGTATTTATAGTTAATCTGCCTTATTGTATAATATCACAACTTTTTTATATTGTTTGTAATTTTAGCTCTTTTGATATCCTCTTGGTTGGTCTTATTTATTCTTTTATTATCATTTTGTTGTATTTTCATCACGTTACATAGATAATATTAATAGACAGTTTATAATATTAAATAGATCACATGGGAAATAGGCACTCTTTTATCACTTTCAATTCATGGGTATATTTACGCGTTTTCATCTTATTGAAGTACTTGAGGTTTTGTATAAGAAATTTGAGGCTTTTGATGTTTTCTTGTTTTTTGTTTCATCATTTAAAATTATCCACCATCTTGCGTGCACCTATAGTCCCAGCTACTTAGGAGACTGAGGCAGGAGAATTGCTTGAACCTGGGAGGCGGAGGTTACAGTGAGCCGAGATCGCACCACTGCACTCCAGCCTGGCGACAGAGCAAGACTCTGTCTTAAAAAAAAAAAAAAAAAAAAAAATTATCCACCATCCCCCATAGTAGAGTGGGTGCAAACTTTTGAGGAAGTCTTTATACATGCTCTTGTTTCATGTTTTTCTTCTTTATACATGCTCTTGTTTCATGTTTTTCTTCTTCACCTTGTGCCTTTTGTCCTTTTCTGCAATGATAAGATTCATGGGTGTTGTCATAGGAAGCAGTCTACTTTCTTCCTATCAACTCGGTACTGATCATTGCAAATTAAATACTAGTATTTCATTTAAAAACTAATTACTGGTTTTCCAAAGGAGCATCCCTATTGTGGGAAGAGATCTTTAATGGTAGTTGGAAAGTATAGTGATAAATAAAATCCCTTGTATATATTCATATGTTACCTAATCTGTATATATGTAATTTCAAGACTTGTATCTGAAATAATCAAACCTAATGATTGTTTTTTCAAATGTGAGAACATGTACCATTAAATATTTTCTCTTAAAAGTCAAGGAATAGGGATATTGCCTATTTTTTATGGGTTAAAATCATGTGTATGAATCTTACAGGTGTAAGAACTCTCGTTTGATGGAATACACTTCACTAAGGAAATAGCCTATGGAAAAAAGTATATAGGATACAGCAGTAACTATATCAACTTCCCTTATGTTCTCCAGACTTTTCTTCACAGGAATTAGAGATTTTCATTTGCTCCTTTTCCTCCTCCTGGCTTCAAATGTTTGTTGCAGAGGCAGTCTTTAAAAAGTTGTGTCTACAGAGCTCTGGTAGTGTTTCTTCTGAGCCACTCTCTCTTCAGAAAATGGTAAGCACCTCTTTATTCTGAAGTGAGTTCACAAACTCAATTTTATTTATTTATTTATTTATTTATTTATTTATTTATTTATTTAGAAACGGAGTCTTGCTCTGTTGTCCAGGCTGGAATGCAGTGGCGCGATCTCGGCTCACTTTAAGCTCCGCCTCCTGGGTTCATGCCATTCTCCTGCCTCAGCCTCCCTGGTAGCTGGGACTACAGGCACCGGCCACCACACCCAGCTAATTTTTTTATATTTTTAATAGAGACAGCGTTTCACCATGTTAGCCAGGGTGGTCTTGATGTCCTGACCTTGTGATCTGCCCACCTTGGCCTCCCAAAGTGCTGGGAATACAGGCGTGAGCCACTGCGCCCGGCCCACAAACTGAATTTTAAAATATTCTTGGTTATTTCAAGTAAGTAGGCAGAATATATTAATTCATAAATCTTTCAATTCTGCATAAAAGCTAGTATATTTCTATCTCAAAATAGAGTAGTGAAAGCCAGCGGCAGTGCTGAGTGCCTGTAGTTCCAGCTGCTCAGGAGACCGAGGCGGGAGGATTGCTTGTGCCCCAGAATTCGAAGCTATAGTGCATTATGATTGCACCTGTGCATAGCCACTGCATTCCATACTGGACAACATTGTGAGACCCCTTCTCCAGGGGCAGTTTGGGGAAGATAATCACCAAATAGAAATTTTAAGGTGGAGCATGATGGCCCCTTCCTATAATTCTAACACTTTTGGAAGCTGAGGCAGGAGGATCCCTTGAGCCCAGGAGTTCAAAACCAGCCTGGGCAACATAGCAAGACTCTGTCTCTGAAAAAGGTTAAATTGGCTGGGCATAGTGGCACATGCCTGTGGTCCCAGCTACTTGGGAGGCTGAGGTGGGAGGATCCTTAATCCCAGGAGGTTGAGGCAGCAGTGACCTGTAATAACCACTGTATTCTAGCCTAGGTGACATACTCAGACCCTGTCTCAACAACAAAAAAAAAAAAAAAAGAAAAAGAGATTTTAATTTCTTTTGAGCATAGCCAAGGGTTGATCATAGAAAAGTAAAAAAATCCTTGTTCTCTAATAAAATTCGTATGTGAGGTTATTATTTTGGAAAGAACTAGATCCAACAAAATTCTAAATGGTATTTAAAAAGCAAAATATTATGCATATAAGCTACAATTGATTTAAAGTTTTCCAGTTTTATTTTGGCTGTCTTTAGATATTAATATCTGGTAGCTCTAGCAATTTTTTAATTAAATGAGAAATACGTATATCGGTCAGATTAGGCAAATTCTGTTTTGCAACAATCCTTGCCTTTAAGGATGTTTTTATTCCTTATTTTGTTTTCTATTGAAGAAAGACTTGTTTTCTGCTAAAAAAAAAAAAAAAAAAAGGCATTATCAAAATGGAAATTAAGAAATACCAGTTGTATGTAAATCATATGTATAAAATATGCAAATGAATCATACACATTGGGCATAAGACTAATCAAAAGAGCTTTCTTAAATGAGGATCAAAATTGAATTAGAAAAAAATCATTATTTTTAAGAAGGTATTTTTCTGTTTGTTCACATGGTATTGACTGTGACACAAAGCTAGCTTTCTTAATATTTTATTATGTTCAACCAGGATAGAGTGGCAACCATAGTGATGCAACTAGGAAAATATAACCAAATGTAATAATGAAATGAATCAAATAATTTCTCTTTACTGCTGTTTTTGTAGTTGAGAAAATAATGCGATATTATTTTTCAACAGGTATATTCCTATTTACCAGCCTTGGGGAAAACTGGTGTGCTTGGGTCTGGAAAGATTCAGATGTCAAAGAAAATAGGACAGCGGCCTTGTTTTGACTCTCAGAGAGCCTTACTAATGTTGAATGGTACTAAACAAAAACAAGTCGAAGGGCTGCCGGAGTTACCGTAAGTGATGCTGATATCCCAGCTGTGCTTTGTTTTGGAGTACAGCTCTTTTTCTGATGCATTTCTTGAACTTTATGGTTATCTGTGATACTGTCTGAATTATATTGATTAGATCAAAACTCAGTTTTAGATCTATTTGATCAACATTTTCTGTTTCTGTAATTCAAGGTACATGCTTTCTTTCTGCTTCCCAAAAGAAATAAAACTGCTCACCAAATTATTGATGCATTGTTGATGAAATAACAGTTTTACACAATTTTTGTTCTATGATTTGAATTACTACTTTGCCATAATATAGATGGAATTTCAGAATGCATGGTCATATGAGATATCCTATATCGTAATAGTAGTTTTCCCAAAATGAGAAACCACCTCTAAAAGTATAGGGTGTATAAAAGTGTATGTCATATAAAACTCAGTAAAGTTCTGTGAGAGGAAGAAGAGAATAGAATCAGAATATGAAACTAAGAATGGGGAGCAGAGACCTGCTTGATCTTAGCTTTCTGCTTTATTCTCTCTGTCAATATATGGTTTAACTGGTCTTTTGCTCTTTATTTGACATTTTATATTTATAAATTTAGTGAGCAGTTGGGGGAGTAAGACTAATAAAAGAAAATTAGTGCACTGAAATTTGTTTCTACACAGTTGAAATAAATTTTAAAATTAGAAAGCAGTAAAGATTGAATGAGCAAGGGGGTTTAAATTAAAAGGAGGCTAGACTTTTAAAAAATACCATCTAATGTATGCTGGCACGCCTTGCTGAAAAACAAGCTTTCCTTATTTCTTACTTTTCCTTTCAGAGACCTGAACCTTGCTAAATGTTCCTCATCATTAAAAAAATTGAAAAAGAAGTCAGAAGGAGAATTGTCCTGTTCCAAGGAGAATTGCCCCTCTGTAGTTAAAAAGATGAATTTTCACAAGACTAATCTAAAAGGTATTCCAAGTATCTAAATTAATTTATGCTAAGAACTTTTCGTGGTTATAGTCAGTACTTGCAGGTTTCACACATTTGCCCTGATGAATACTTGAACTTAAATATTGGACTAGGTCCAGGAAGTACCTTCTTGGATAATGTATTATTTTCTTGAACTGTCATTTATGCAAAGAAAGTGATTGTTTAATACCCAGTATAATAGAGTATTCCTTCCTTTTTTCCTCTCCTTGCCGTCACAGATATGAAACACAGTGTAGCATTCATTGAGCTCATTCCAGACTTGCCCGCCTTACTTTTCTATTCCATCTCAACCTGTGCTGCTTAGGATCAGTGTCTTCTGATTTGAAAGTATAATTCAGTCTTCATCTCTTTCAGTCCTAGACATTTTGTGAACAAAGAATGAAGAGTAGGCTATGTTACATAGCTGTGTTAAGCATATGGGCTCTTTTCTTCCAGGCATTGAGCCCAGACTATGAAATGTGTTTGGCTTTTGGTTCTAACTATACTGGAACCTAAGTACCTAAAGGATGAAATAACAAGAATAGCGTAATAATTCACTTTGGCACCTCTTTTACTTAGACACCTCTTAACTTGCAAATGAATCTTCCGGAAGTCTTTACCTGGCCAAAGTAAATTGCTGAGTCTTTTTTGTTGTTGTTGTTATTTATGAGTTATATCTTGTTTTTAATACAAATATTAACATTATGACACCCAAGGAAATAGTGACAGTGAAGTGCTTATATTTTAACGTGATATAAGTTCATAATTGCATATTATAGATTCAGAATAACTGTCCATTTGGCTTGGAATATGAAAATTATATTAGATGAGAACTCAGATATTAATTTCACAAATCAGCGTTCCTTTTTCTTTGTTTTATTGTTTCAAAAAGTAAAATGAATATGAATGATTTTAGGCAGAACAGCAGAAGGAACTGGGAGAGAGGAAGAGAATTGAGATATAGTAGAGAAAAACTTCAAAAGCTTTTTATGCATGTAAAAAATGTTTTTGTAGAAGTTACAGAGATAATCTGTAAAACTGAACACTGTAAAAATGTGCTTAGTATTTTATAGCAATAACAAATTTGATTCAGTATTTCATTTTGTTTCCTAACCAGTCATTTATAGTAATTTTTTAAAAATTCCCCTTAAATAATCACTTATATCTTATTAACCTTGGTTATAACAGTGATGGATATAGACAATTTTAGCCAGAAGGCATTAATTGCATCTCTCCTAGAAAAAACCTTGTCTTTCTATTTGTTACTCTTGTTCAGCTTTAAATGGTACTAGGGATTTTTTTTTACGTCCGTGTGTGTGTGTGTGTGTGTGTGTGTGTGGTGTGTTTATATTAAGATTCCTCCATTTCTCCCTCTCTGTGCTGTTGTAGCCAAGCCAGACAGCCTATTGAGAAGCAGCAAACCATCTGTTAATGGATTTGAAGTTCTGAATTATACTTGAGTGTGTAGAGGCACTCATGCTTAGCCAGAAACATTCATTTGAATTAAGCTATAAATGCTGTATAAAAAAGAGCCATACATTTAACATAGGTTCATGAATAAATTTAAGAGAGGGCAATTGCACTCTAAACTTTTATTGCTGCAAAACCCAGTATTTTCGGTGTTCTCTGATCATTTGGGGGTTTTATAGCAGGATTGAAGCTTTAAACCTTGAACTAGGGGAGACAATGCCTGTGTTAAACCTTTTGCGGTAGAATCTCATTGCTGAATTGCTGATAGAACAGAAGCAGTATGGTTTGGTGGGGGTCCTTCCCCTTCCCCCCCCCCCCTTTTTTAATGCAGGAGATGTTTAAACCAGTCAAAAGGAAAACTCAATAAATAATTTTCTGGCATGGGGCCAGATCTCCTAGTTCATGCCCTTTGATTATTTTCTTTAGTTGATATCTTGTCTTCTCTGGAATAATCTATTAATTTTTTATGGCAGGAGAAACAGCCCTGCATAGAGCTTGCATAAATAACCAAGTGGAGAAATTGATTCTTCTTCTCTCTTTGCCAGGAATAGACATCAATGTTAAAGGTAAGTTTTAAATCTTTGTGGTCTAGTCCAATGTCTTAATATTTGTGATATTAAACAGTTTTATATCACATTAAGAAAAATTATTTAAGTAAATTTACCTAAGGTATCTTAAAAGTATAAGAAAAATTTCTTAGCAAAGCCAAGAAATTTATCATATATTGATTTATAACTAATAGTATAAAAACATTTTTTTGTTCATATTTTGATAATACCCAATATTAATATTTTAAAATTGTTTTTATTTTAAATTTTTAAGGTAGAAATATGATTACACCCTAGACATTTTTATCACAGCATTCTTTTTGTATATGAAGCACCTAGAAAGTCACACTGATGAGAAAAGTAGAACATCAGTACTTTCCTACCAAAAGTCCTACTTCTGCCGTTTTAAAACTTGCCTTGATTTCTAATTTAGACAATGCTGGCTGGACGCCTTTGCATGAAGCCTGTAACTATGGCAACACAGTGTGTGTCCAGGAAATTTTGCAACGTTGTCCAGAGGTAGATCTGCTCACTCAAGTGGACGGGGTGACTCCTTTGCATGATGCACTGTCAAACGGACATGTAGAAATTGGCAAGCTGCTACTACAGCATGGGGGTGAGTGTGTTTATGCTAAATGGGTTTTGATAAATTATCCAGTTTTTTGATGAATCCTGCAGAGGTAGATAACATTTTATGTTTAAAATCTGTAAGGAAAGATGCCTTTATTTCATATTAATGAAAAAGTAAGGATAAAAAGTCTCCTAAAATGTAAGCACCCTTTATTAGTAGAGATAAAAGCCTTTTCATAATATATATTTGTTTATGTATGTATTATTAAGCCTATTTAGGTTCGTGTATGAGAGTTTATTTTTGAATGGAGTTTGCTGGTTTTAAATATTTATCCTTTTCCTTCAGGTGTGTAATGTCTTTGTGAGCCAGTCATTTCTGAAAGCTTATTGATAAAGGGATACAAATGTTCAATTGTGATTGCCTGGATTTTTTCATTCTTTTTTCATTTCCTGTATATAACTACAAACTCAATCTTATTTTTAATGAGTCATTTCTGTACAGACTGTAAAAAAATGATATCCTAGAATATTTTTCATCATTCGCATTTTGCAGCCAATTAAGTTAAAGCAGGAGGATTTTCAAATGGTGATAACTGTTATGCAGGGGTTTTGTGAAGGAGGGTAGCTTGAACTGAATATTCATCCGTGTTTTTCCTGCTGATTTTTGATCTTTGCTTTCAGCAAGGCCCCACATTATTTCAGTGTCATTCTTCTTATATCTAAACTGAATAATGTAAATTTTACAACAAAATGTTCAAAACGGATTGGTGTTTTTAAAGAAAAAAGAAAGCTGATGACCAGCTTAGAATATGGAAACAAAGATTTGTAGAAATTACTTGTCGCTTTTATTTGTATTAATTTTACATTTAAATTTAACATTATCATGTCCTGTAATTAAAATATTTGATTGTGCATAAAGACAAAAAACATATTTTCTTAAGATGTGTTTTTAGTATATATGCATCTAAGGAAGGCTGTATAGCATGGTAGTTTAAGACATTTGGTTATATATAGTCTTCTCCTGCCCCCTAAAGGCCTTAGCGTGTCTCTTTTACTGATATCATTTCACAGTCAATATATTTTTCAGTTCTTCTACCTTGTTTTTTTCAGTATTCTGTGTTTACTAAACCATAAGTTCACCTCCTCAGTGTTTTATTTTTCTACTCAACCATTCAGTCTGGCATCCAGGCCAATATTTGTTAGGAGCCATTATTGTATCAGGGCCAGCTCTTCAGTAGAGTATGGCATTATACCAGCCAACGTGAATTTTTCTAGGGCCCTTAGTGGAGAATAGTAAAGGGAAGAGTTTCTTATCCTAGAAGAGGAAATCTGATTGTATTTGTTTATATCAAGGTCCTTTGGCAATCGTACAGACTTGTTTCTGCCTTAGTCATATTCTGGGTTTGGACCTGTCAAGTGGTTTGACACTTATATTGAAGTAACTGCATTATCTATTCATTGTGAGTCACTCAGCCTCGAGAGCAATAATTTCAAGAATTTATTTATGTCTCTAAAACCTTTGTTTACTTTTGGTGTCCTGTGTCCGTAATTTTGTCTCTTCTTCTTCTTCTTCTTTTTTTTTTTTTTTTTTTAAACAGAAGTAACTTGGAACAGTTTTTTTGAGATGTTGGCACAGTGAAAAGGAGCCTAATTTTGTTTTAGAATTATCTTCTTTCCATAAATTATACATTAATCATATTATCAATGGTTGATCTTTTATATTAAGTACATTTTATATCTATGCTATTATATATGTCTGATCAGAATCATCATTAAGAATTTTAGCAGTTATAATCAGTTCTCTCTTTCTGACAATATGATCTATGTTATAATGGTAGGACCTTGTGATTATGTCTGCTAGTACTAAAACCTTTATATCCCCTGTAACATTTTTATGGCCAAGTGCATAAATAATTATAAGACTTGACTGATGAAGGCACAAAGTACTCCTATACTTTGCTACGTAACCAAATACTGAGTTATGTTTTGCCTCCTCCACATCATCCTTTAGTACCTAGGGGATAAACTCTATCTTTAGTACTTTCTGAGTAGGTAGTTAAATGAGTTTAACTTGTATAGATGGATGAGCTCTGAGTTTGATCTAGAATTAATTAATATGTAATTTGTGTGAATCAGTTACCTGTACTAAACATTGAACACAAGCAAGGGTAATATGAAAACTGTGTTCTCTATCTGTGCAAGGTTTTGCAGTCTTTGCACTGCTAGAATTGTTTATTAGCAATGAAAGGGGCACTGCTTTTTCCTCTTGGCGATATTTTGAGATACCCCTGAGGCTCTTATACAGAATGTATAAGATGAATACATTTTTAAAATTTCTTCTGGGAACACTGAAATTCTTAAGATGATAATTGATAAAGTTTTATAAAAGTTTTCTTTTTAATGTTTGTAGTTGTATTTATTATTTATTTAACTAAGGCACGCACGTTTGGGGAAACCTTATTAGGTAATTGACTAGAATGTTTTTAATGTACCTTTATTAGTCTACATATATAGCCAGTTAATTGTGTCAACCTGAATTAATACAAAATATGATTGTAAAGAAAGCCCTGGATGCTTTGGGAGAAAAGAGAAAACAGCTGTTAAGCTGCCAAAATAGAAGTGTTTTACATGTAACATTTTGCATTTTCTTTTCACAGGCCCAGTGCTTTTACAACAGAGGAATGCTAAGGGAGAATTGCCCTTGGACTATGTGGTTTCACCTCAAATCAAAGAAGAACTGTTTGCTATTACAAAAGTAGAAGATACAGTGGAGAACTTTCATGCACAAGCAGAGAAACATTTTCATTACCAGCAACTTGAATTTGGCTCATTTTTACTTAGTAGGATGTTGCTAAATTTTTGTTCAATTTTTGATTTATCTTCAGAGTTCATTTTAGCTTCCAAAGGGTTAACTCATCTAAATGAACTGCTTATGGCTTGTAAAAGTCATAAAGAAACCACCAGTGTTCATACTGACTGGTTATTGGATCTTTATGCTAGAAATATAAAGACATTGCAGAAACTCCCACATATTCTTAAGGAACTGCCTGAGAATTTAAAAGTGTGTCCTGGAGTACACACTGAGGCCTTGATGGTAACATTGGAAATGATGTGTCGGTCAGTCACAGAGTTTTCATGATAATGCTAGAAAGGATGGATTGAATTCTAAATCTGTTCCGTTTGCATTGGCACTTACTGTGGACTTCATAGCTTACTGACAGATAGTAATTTGATTTATTTATTGACAGACTTTGCAGCCTTGCTAAATTTTAAAAGCATTTTTTAAAAAACTTCTGCAAAACTCTAGTATGGGCTTCTGACTTTTTTCATGGTGTAGAATTTGACTCAAAAGTAAAAATAATTTTGTTTTAGTGTATTCTACTTTCATTAATCTTTAATTTTTTTCTTCTGAAAGTGATATATTGTACGTGTAAAATTAATTTAAATATTTTTTCAAATCAAAATGTAATGTCCTGTATTCTAGATGTTCTGGGTCTTAGAATCATGCCAAGGATATTCATACAAATGTGTACCTATAAACTTGTAGCTCCTGACTCTTATGGATGGATTTTGAGGAAAAAACAAGACTAAACAAAAAACATGTAGCTCTCTATTTTTTCTCTCTAGGTTGTTGGACTGAAATATGCATTTTAGCTTTGTGTGTTTCTAAAATAAACATTTCTGAAATTTACAGTAATAATTAATATTCTTTTGGTTTTTAAATGCAGCAAATACGCAGTCTGACAGTTCAATTCTTTGATCTGTTTTATTTTAGCAATTCATATACAAAATGTATGTCGCTGCCCTATGTAACCAATATTCTGTACCTGAAAATATTCTGCTGCATAGGTTTATGAGTTTAATATTAAGATTATGAGTGGCATCTAAGTAATAGATTTGAGATTATTTAAGATCTTAATATATAATGTGAATTGACTGAGTAGTAATGTTTTAATTTGCAGTTTTTCCTAATAGCAGTTTGTAGTAAAACTAAAAGAAAGGGTATAGATAATAACCACTTTTGAAATTGGAGTTTCTTCACTACTGGGAGTAAGTTACATTATGGTACAGGTGGAAAATAAACACTTCCGTTTAGCTTTTATGTAACTCAAGTGATGACTTTAGAGCAGTTAATCTGCTAAAGCAACACACTTCAGTTTTATTTTGCGAATAGATATTTTAACAAGATACAGATGCTCAGTATCATATTACTGGGTTTGTAATCTAAATTGAAAATTGCTACATCAGTATGAAATATTTTAAATAAGTAATTTTTCATACATACTCAAGAAATACTAGTTTCTATTTAGCCTTCAAATTTGGCATCATGCAAATCTCTTTATTATTAATCTGCCAAAGTATCAGAGAAAAAATTATATAGTGAAGACTAAGAAAAGTTTAAATACTTATAGAGAGTAAAGTGCTTCTCCAGATGATGAATAAGAATGTTTTTTATTCCAAGGAGTTCCTCTTTATAATGGTGTCTGGGATAGTGTTTGCTTGGTAAACTAATATAAACTTATAAACATAGGCTTTGACATCATACACATTTTCAAATCCTTGTCTAGTTCCTTAATAACTAAATTGCAAGGCAAATTCTTTTCTGAGCTTGGCTTTCCTACATGTCAAATAGAAATCACACCAGGTAGCTTTGTCATGATAGAATTGTTAGCCTATCACATCATATGACACTTAATAAATATCGTTTCTTTTCTAGTTCTTACCTCCTCTTTTGATTATAATGAGTCATTTAGACAAAAGACAAGATAGTAATTGTTTAAGTTGGTAGTAATTCTAAGGTAATTAAGTAATCAACATCATGAGTTAGGGTTTTATACTGTTAAGACAAAGTGGTTTTCCAAATTAGATGTTCATAAGATATATTTGTTTAGCTGCAATTAGCATTAATATTTCATAATTGACTGTTCTGTCTGCCAACTTCTACAAGCAGTGATGACATGAAGTGTGAAACAGATGTCATTGAGGTCTCTGCCTGTAGGAAGTTTTACACTTCTTTGAAAGTCCAACACGGCAAACACAGGTTCCTGTGTTCTGTGCCCTGGCTAACATAATACCAGTATATGAGTTTGAATTTAAATTTTCAATAAAAGTCTTCATTTCCAAAATTACTTTTTATACTTTATTTTAGAAAACATAATAATAATTGCCTTGAATAATTGCCCAAATCTATCTTGGAGGTATAGGAAGAAGAAATTCTCAGTAAGTATAATTCATAGTCTTAGTCGTAGATTTTGAATTGCAGACTTTTCAAAGTTGCGTATGAAGACAAGGTTGAGAAATGCTATTCTTCATTGTATTTTGCCAGATGTGATATCATAGTTCTATGGAATCATATTTTTAAAAATTTCTATAAGAGACCTTATTATAGTGTAAATAAAATTGGAGAGGAGATTTCTGAGCAGTTAAGATTCAGCTTTTCCCCATGCAGTGTTTACTGGCAGTTTCTTAAATTTCTTTGAAGTTAAGAGTTTTGTAGGTTGTTAATTTTTAATTTCACTTTGCAGATTAAAATCGTCCAAGTATATACATATTCTGTCATTTTACTCATTCCAAGATGACCAGAAAAACATTTATCCTCATAAAAGTCAAATGTGAAATTAATTCTTTTGAATTCAGCATTTCTTGAACACCTACTCTGAACCAGGTGGTGTGTTTGACAAGGGCTAACTACCAAAAAAGAGGAAAGGCCCACAGTCTAGGAAGGTAAATAAGGCTTAAGTATTGTGAATTTTATTTTCTTCTACATCTGGTAAAAAATTAATTTCAGTTTTGTAGGTTTCTGAAATTTTCAGTAATAATTGGTGTTCTGTTTTAGTTTATAAATGTGAATATTCAAGTGTCCAATACTTTAATCCTTTGATGAGTATTATTTTAGCAATTTTATTTCAGCGTGGATAGGATGTAGGGTGTGCTTTTGCAGTCTTAGTGTTTTTAAGGAAGTACAAATGCATTAACACTAAGATACTGTATATAACCTGCAGAAAATATCTGCCATTTTTGTTTATGCTGTTATAGAAAGTTAAAGGAATACCTTCACATGAAAAAAAAAATTGGTGGAATGTGCAATCCTTATGCCTTTATACACCTTTCCAGTTAAGCGGTGAACTTGATGAGAGCCTGTCACTGTTGCTCCTTAATCAGTAGGAAGGGGTCATCTTTGAGTGACATGAGGCACTCTTTCCCTGAGGCATTTATCAGGTAGCTTTCACCCCAATTGCACCTCCTGCTGACGTGGAGCTTGCAAAACTAGGAATGATAATTGTTTTTATAACAAATGTGGATTGAGTTAGAAAGGTCAGTGATAGCATTATTGGAATTAGGCTCTGCCTGGTGTTGTCAAAACAGGAGACATGGAATAGTTAACTGTTCCTTGTAAATCAAATTGTTATCGGAAAATTCACCTTGTAGATAAAAATGAACTGTAGTTGGAGAATATACTTTGGTAGTTATTTGCTGTGGTATGTATTTTGAAATTATAGGCTATAAATTAATTAGATAAGGTTGAAGTGTTGTTTTACTTGGTTCTGAGCATACATTTTCAAGGTAATGCAAATCCTAGTCAAAGACCTTTTCAAAAGAAATAAAACATTTTAACATCATTGATTATTAGATGTTTAAAAAGAGTTTGTCTTCTTAAATACTAATCTTACAGAACATCTCAAATATGTACAAGCTGTTCCTAATACTTTTTATATTTGAATTTATTAGTGTCTTTTTTTAGTGTAAGTGTATGGTTTTGATTATAAATACACTTAAACTGTTTTTTAAAAAGCTTGAAATATAATCCTTAGTACTAGATACAAGTGACTTTATTTTTAGAATGTTATCCTTTTTGTTTTTCAAGAGACATATTGATAATCCCTCCCACCCCCTTTTTAAAACAGAATGTAATGAACTCTGTTCTGGGTTTTTAAACTACTTGCGGAATGAAAGATCAACAATGTTATGTCAGCAAAGTGACTATTTATTAAACAGTATTCCTAACAAAATATGTAGTATTGTTATATATGTAATATATAATATCATATTGCCTTTAAGAAATAGAGATCCCAAAAGCCCTTATTCAGGTATTTATAAATAGTTATTCCCAGTTAGAATTAAAGCATATACTTCCAAATTAGTGATTTTTATATCATGGCCCCAAATCTTTTTAGATGTAGAACCCAGATTTTGGAACTCTAATCCTCTTCCTTGCCAAAGTATCTGAGTTGGATCAAGCGATTGTGGATGTTAAACATTAATAGAGAATGGCTTACTAGTTTGGGACATACAATTTCATTCTACCAAAGAGTGGAAGTTTAAACAAAAAACAAAACAAAAGGTTTAGCACTTCCAGAAAGTAAGTTGCTCTGAACTGAAAATCTGGAATCCAGATTTGAATTTATACCTATCATACTGTTACTTTTCTTGATAGTAGATGAACTAAAATTACCACTGCTTCTCTATTCTGTCTCAAAGTGAAATAAATAGTAATACTGAAAAATCATTAATCTTGAAGTGTTGACAGATGAAAATAACTTAGTTTGTTGTCAGTGACTTCTCAATCTAAAGGTTAGGTCAACAATGTTTATGTCATGACTCTTAATAAATTTTTCTAATGACCAGAATAGTTTGATTTATGATAGTGTTTTTGTTTTTGTTTAAAGGAATATATATCTTTGTTACCTGGCTTCATCCTAAAGATGCATTTTTCTACTTTGCATTCTTTCCTTTTTACATTAGAGATAAAATTACAGAGCAATAAGTAAAATCTGATGAAATTAAAATGTGTTCTTTCCATGAAATTTTCCATGAAAACTTAAAAGCAGAATTGTAAAGGTGAAAACTGGTCAAGGGGATGAGGGGAAAAATGGTTGAGTCATTCTACTTAAAGGAATCCAAAGGGTAAAGATTTCTAGGTACTGTTTATTATATTGATGGAAGTTAGTGAAGGTATAAAATCAGACAAAAAGTATGTAGACTAATCTCAGAAATAAACTGGGTCTTTGAAAATTTTGAATAATATTTGATAAACTAAACCAAAGGTCCAGAGAGTTGTTTTATAGAAGGTTCTTTTGGTTGAAATTCAATTTAATAAAAAATAAAGAATAATAAAATTCCAGTTCTAATGGTATCAGAAACAAGCTAGATTTTTTTTCACCGTTTTTAAAAAAACAATTGACACATAATTGTACATGTTTATTAGGGTACAGTATGATGCTTCAGTACATGTGTACATTGTATAATGATAAAATCATGGTAGTTAACATGTCCTTTGTCTTAAATCTTTACGATTTCTTTGTGGTGATAACATTCAAGGCCCACTTTTGAAATTATCTTGAAATATAATACATTGTTATTATCTGTAGTCACCCCACTATGTAATAGAACATCAGCACTTACTCTCCTTAGTTCATCTAATTAACTTGGTATCCCTTGAGACCATCCTCTCCCCATCTTTGCCTCCCCACCTTTTCCCTTCCCAGCCTCTGGTAACCGCCATTCTACTGTCTACTGCTATGAGATCAGCTCTCCTAGATTCCACATATAAGTGAGATCATGTGGTATTTATCTTCCTGTGAGAAAAAGGCTGTTTCGAATAGTAATACTCAGTTCTTTCTCACAGGCAAATCTTGGCATCTCATTTCTTATTTTCCTGTCATTTCAGTTCTTTTACACTCCCCAAAATACTGTTAAGTTCATACTTAGCCATGTTACTGGAGGAAATGGACTCAGAGCTGAAAGCTACTTTTTAAAAATGGTTGGACCTTCTACCTAAATACCATTTTTTACTAATACTAATATTTTAAAAATTGAAGCTAAATGTTATTAAAAATGATTTTCTCAGCCAGACATGGTAGCACATGCCTATAGTCCCAGCTGCTTGAGAGGCTGAGGCAGGATGATCACTTGAGCCCAGGAGTTCAAGGCCAACCTGAGCAACACAGCAAGACTCTCTTTTTTAAAAAAAGTAACATAAATATATTATCTAAATTACATAAGGAAAAAGATTGTAAGTAAAAAATTGCTTATAGTGATTGTCTTTATGTGGAAAAGTTTTGGATATTTCTTTTTCACTTCTCCAGATTTCTTTGTAATGATTTATATTTGTTTATAATACCAGTAACCAATTTATTTTGAAAGTAATGCTCCTGAATTAAGAAAGAATCAATCCTTGAAATTTTTCTAAAGTTGCCTTATTTAAACTGGCACTTACTGGATTTTTAAAAGGTAAACTACAGTTGTAATATACTATTTAAAGTTGGATATAATTGAAAGTATAATTAGTATTATCTAACACAGATCTCAAAAAATACACTATGTATGTGCTCCTTTTTTGAAAGTGAATCTGACTTACCACTTTACTGATACGCTTCTCTAGTCTTTGCTTTAAGACACTTCAAAATGGAGCCCCAAGTATGTTGAAGTGGGAACTGGGAGGACTTTACTCTTTTGTAGTACTCTTAAATTGCTAAAGATTAAACTTGCTCATGTGGAGTCATAACATGTAACATATCTTTACTTTCTGATTTTAGTATTTATGGGACCTGAAGAATTACTTGTTCTCTGGTGAGACTTTTCAGATTCGACACAAAAGCAGGGAGAAACTGGTAAGATTAAGTGATAGCTACATTTATTCAAAGATTGTACCTTAAATGGCTTTGAAAGGATACTACTGTATTAGGAATTTTTTCTTCTATCATCAATCTGAAAAAATATCCATTTTATAACTTATTTGCAACATTAATACAGATACAAACAACCCTCTGTCGAGAGAATTCTGAGAGTATCTTACCACAGCTCTCCAGAGCATACTGTTTTGCACCTCTTCTGTGAAGGCCAGCAGAATAGCTTCTTGTAAGGTACTCTTTTAAGTAGTACAACTCAGAACAATCTTTTTACAATTGTTCTGTATTAATATCCTGGATACCTACATGGTAACTATAGTACCACCTGATAGTATCCATCTGTTTTTTGGGGGGAGATTTCTTACCTACGGGTCAGGGCTATTGTCACAGTCATGGGAGGGAAATCAAGTAAATATGCATTAAATGTACTGTGTATCAAGTACGTAGCATCACAGTGTGCAAGATTGGATGGTGAATACTTGGCACCCCAACCCGTAAGTCAGAGTATTTTGTTCTTGCTTAAATTACCAAGTGCTGTATGTTTTGATTTTTAAAAAATGTTTTTCTCTTCTGAAAATGAATGTTTTTAAAAGTGATGTCAAGCAATTTCACACAAATAATGAACATCACAATAATCTGTTTAAGAACTCCTTTGTCAGATACGTACAGTGTTTTCTGGATGGCTTCTCGTGTGCTTCAAAGACCCTCTTACTCTTTGCTATGTTCTCTGTTAATGGAAACTGAAGTTTGTAAGAGTTTTAGGCCAAACGTAAGAGGTAGGTATACCATTGTGTTTTTTTGCTCAGAAATTGTTAGCTACTTCCTCTGTTGTAAAACAAAGATGACAAAATTACATACTCCGCCTTGTATAATAGCAAATAGACACTTCTATCTTTGTAAAGTTTTTCTAAGAACTTATTAGTTCTTGACACCGATAAATTGTTTTCCATGGTTGCAGTGTTACAAGGTACACAGAGATTTTGACTTCTCATAATTACTACTCTAGAAAAGAATGTTTTGTGGGGCATATTGTTATAAGGTTTCAGTTCTCTGATAGCTTTATTAAAAAGGATTCTTTGAGCTTGGGACAAATATTGTCATTTGCTTCCCCTCCTCCCTCTGCTGTGGTCCAGCTGTCTCTGTAACAATGCTCGACTATTCTCAGGTGTCTCCAATAATGCAAAAGACGGGTATGAGTAGTGAGGGCCAGGTATGCTTTTTCTGTGAATTTAGCATTTCCTCCAAACCTGTCAGCATTTGAACTCTGGCAAAATAAAATCCCTCAAATGGACTCAAGCCATTTTGAGCTTGTCTTTGACTAGAAAGTGAAACTGAACCTATATTATCATCTTTCTTCACTAGTGGGAGCAATAGTTCCACTCAGCCAGGCCTCAGGATCTCCTTAAATGTATCCCTCCAGAGAAAATAAGGTAGTTTTCAGGTTCACTCATTGGCTCAGGTTGGCCACTCCTTTTTTCTTTGGAAGGAATATTGAAGAATCTGTAGTAGGGGATAATTGCACTGCAATTGTAATTTTGCTACATACTGAAAAAACTTAGGCACGGCTACTTACCTAAACCATTTCCACTTTCCTTGAAAGAAATCTTTCTACCTAATATAATAACACTTAATTGACTAAAGCAGAACAGCAGTGTATTTTACTTTTTTAAAAATGGAGTAATAATTTTTCAGTGACATTTGGAGGTACGGATAATCATATAAATTTAAAAACCTGTCTTTACAAAATTACTGCTTGTGCATGTAATAGAACACTTTTGTTTGGTTTTTTTGTTTTTTGTTTTTTTTGTGTTTTTAAAGCTTAGAATGTCAGGGAAGAGCCCAATAAATTGAAACTCATTCGAGATCATTTACAATATTTGATTGTTTTTATTTTTTGTTTCTTAACCCAGATCCCTCCTTTGAAAAGCACAGAATCAAGTTCCAGCAAACCTTTCATGGTGCTCTTAGTTCTACATTATGTGATTGCTTTGGACATTTGATAGTTTTTATTTGCATGCTATTCTTTTTTAATGAGATTTTTCAATAGTATTTCTCAAACTTTAGCCATTCAGCTGAAATAAATCTGATGTGACTGCCTCTATACAAATTGCCACTATATAAAAGAAACTGAGGTACCACAGGGTAACATTTTCACCAAAAAAAAAGAAAAAAATAATGTTTTGTTTTCTTTCAGTTACACCTATCATCCCAGGAAAAAGAATTATAATTGAAAGGAATGACACTATTTTAAGAAAGAATTTACTACATTATTTTCTATCTGGTTTAAATTCATACTTGACTGAGCAATTGGAAAAGGCCGATCCTAGATACCCTAATCAAACCAATGAATAGACATCTGTACACACACTCACACTAGTGTGTGAAATCACGCTATTCATTTAAAGCCCCAGGATTTAAGCAAGTATTAATTTAATAATACCTGAGATGTTTTTCAAGAAGTATAATGGTAGCTGTCTTGTATTTCTGGAGCAAAAAGGTATAACTGCCTTATAGCTTTTTGTTCTTAATGCTAAGCCAACATTATAAAACACTTAGGCCCATTTAACAAGTTTATTCGCTGAAATTACTGCCTTTGAATAACATTAATACAAATGTTGACTACTTTCAGCATAGGAGACCTTATATATGAGATGAAAGTGGAAAAAAATCTCCTGTGGTCCCTAGATAAGAATTCACTTCCGAGTTTTTCTTCACTTGTAAATACAGAATAAAAATTTTATAAAAGATAATTTTTAGAAATGTATCAATTAAATTTGGCTCTCACTGTACTTCAACTCCAGATTTGATTTTAATATACAATCATTGCTTTGACCATTGCCTATAACAGGGTCATACAGTTGGTATTCAATATATCACAGAGTCCTTTAAAGAATCTCCCAACTCAGATTATCCTAGTGCATATAGCATGTTAAAAAATTGGAATTCCTACAGAACCTATATCAATCAGTTTGAGTCTGGAACAGTACTAGAATGAATGAGAAGTACTATTACATTATTTTTGATAAGTGGGGAAAAAATTAAAAAGCACAAATATGCATTTATGAATTGTCACCACTAATGGCAGTAATAGTTTAGAATATGAATAATGACTCAGTGAATTTACTAAAAGATACTAAAGGAATATAATAGTTCACAACATCTACAATGTTAGCAGTTCAAGTAGATGTTAGAGTGACATTCAGTCTTGTCAGATAACTTGAAATATCTACATCACAAATCTCTCAAAATGGAGGCAAGTCAGGCAGCTCTCAAGACAGAATTGTACCTTATGTGAGAAGGGGAAAGAAATAGTTAAGATTTTAACTATACATATTCTGTTTTCAGCCTGTGAATGTCGTAGTTTCTAAAAGCAATGAAGATTTCCCTGAATATCACTTTTGTGCCTCAAGCTAGTTCTTATTCCTCTAATTTCATTGGATGCTCACCCCTCCAGAGGTATTTTTATATAAGAATCAGATAAGAGTCAGAGTTTCAGGAAAAAGCCTTGTTTGTTTAAACCAAATCTGTATTTCTCCAAGTGAAATATAATTTTTAAGAATATGCACACAATCCCTCATCAGTCTCTGAACCACCGGAAAAAAAAGAGAGTGCTGATTATACATGGGAAAGATTATCGTCTGTTGTATTTAATGCAGTGAATGTGTAGTCAACATTACCATTGAACTAAACATCTGAAATTTGATACAGTGAAACAAACAAATTAGTCATCTGTTAATGGTCACTATCCACTAGATACATCTGAGGTTGTAGAATATCAGGCTTATAGACATTTGAGTACACATTGTCAGCACAGAACATAAAAGTCTCACATAAGGTATAATTGAACAGTTATCTCATCAATAAACTTTGTGTAGTAACACCATGTTCATGGAACATTATGTTTTTAGCAACAAACAGTGATGGTATGCGGGCTGAAGCATGTCATTTTAAACATGATACATTAAATAAAGCATGTTGAGGTCAAAGCCTTTCTGTAGAAAGGGAATTTAATTGACATTCAAGCATAGTATATAAACAGATCAAAATAGTTCTATTATAAGAAATAGTATTTAACAACTTATCTCTAAAATAAAAATACTTTAAAAATCAGCTTCAATGAGATTACACTTATTGTTAAAGAATCTTCCTTTAGAGTGAAATATACATTCTTTTAGCTTTTCTATAATTTTTCCAGTATAACCCTCACTTTTACCCCATCCAAGTTTATTATTAATAAAGTAGTGCAAAGCATTGTCTGCTGCAATTTCAACTGAGTGTAATCCCCTACCAAGTCAGGGAAGTAATACATTCTCAACCAACCAAGTTATTTTTTTCCCACAGTTATGCTCCCTTAGTATACCAGGGAGTGAGATACAAAAACTACTTTAAGAGTCTTGGGAATGCAATTTTTAAGTATAGATTCTATGATAATAGTGAAACATTGATAAAGGCAGCCACCACCCCCAAGCAGTTTATTTTACAAAACAGGTTTTCATGCATAATCAAGAATGATTTTTTTAATAAATGAATGTAGTGAAGCATTGGCATATCACTTAGCACACTGAATTCTCTACATTAAAATTCACACTAATAACAAAATCATAGTATGAATTAAAGCATTTCAGTAATCTAATGAGAAAGCAGAGTTTTTTTTTTTTTTTCCTGTGAGAACACGAGTATTAAAATATTTTTAGATGCACAGATACAATCTGACACCAAAAGCGATATGGATGTAGTTTGCTAGTATTTTTGATAACTGTACTTACTGGGTTGCTAATTTGCTAACATGTATAAATTAAAGTAGTGGTAGGTATAAAAATTCAGATAGGCAATCGTTTATAAACTGGCAGTATTTATGTTGTGTAGTCCTGTAGAGATTTTAAGGTTTTAGATGGAATGATTGAAATTCTATAAAGAAAACTTTCTAACCTTCTGAGTATTGATTTTCTTGAGGGAGTGAATATACCTTCACTTATTAGCTTAAAATCAGCCTAGTCATACCTAAGTAATTTGCACAGGAGTGAATGTCGGGATCTAAAGCCAGAATATATGTTAAATTGAAATGCATCCATTCCATTATTTAGGCTTTGGTATGTCCCTCCCTTTTGAAATGTATAAAACATAGAAAACTGTAATGGATTACTTTTCAGATAAAAAAGTCACATTAAAAAAAAAACTTTAAAATCAAATTGACATTTAAAATTGATGTAGATTTAATCAGAGCACAGGTGAGTAATCCACTTGTAATTAGATAAGGATATATCTTCCAATGTTATCATTCTTATATTTGTTCTTTCAGTGTGTTATATTATTTTCCACAGCTAACAAGGCTTTCACACAGCAGTAGCAAAACCTTTATCAAGTTGAGTCTGTACAATAGAAGTATATTTTCAAAGACATATGCCTTTGTACACTATTTACAAATTCTCTCGATCATGATAAAAAGGCAAAATAAATAAAAATCTGAAAGAAAGGAAATGCTGCTCAGGCTGAGGGCTTTTTCTTTTATCTTCCCAAACAGATGCTGGTCTCCTCAGTGCTGGAAGCTGGCTAGCCAAGATTGTTTTTCTTTCTTTTATATGGGCTATGAGAAGGATCTGGTTTCAGTTCTTGGTATTGCACCTGTTTAAACAGAGTTCAGAGGAAGACTGGTCAGGTGGCCACTTTCTGGCAAAGAAAGGAAAAGCAAAGGAATGAGAGACTGTGCTGGGGGGAAGAAAGTGCTCATTCTAGAAGCTGTATGGGATCTGCAGCTGAGATGCAGAAAGCAGTAGAATGACAGAGCAAGAATCAGGGAAATCCTGTTGGAAACTACATGGAGCCCTGATGTGAACTTTAGTAATGGTCGTCACTGTCTGTAACACATTACATTAAAAGCAAAACCATCTACATCGATTTTAAAGGGCTCGATAATGGTTTTTTACAATTTATCATGTATTTACAATTTATCATGTGTTTAATACAGTCTTAATCTCCATCCAGGCCACTGTCATGTCATAGCAAATGAAAAAGGTGTCACTGTAACCCAGCTTCAGGATTTTAATTTAAAAACAAACAAACCAACCTTCTTTTATTTTGAAAACAGCTGATGGTTAATGGGCATTAACCTCAAAGGATTCCAAAGGATTTTTGAGATAAGCAGTCAGCTCTCTTCTCCTCACTGATCTCCAAAATATACTTCTTTAAAACTTACTTGTAATTCTTGCAAATTCTGGAAAGATTTTTTTTCTTAAATGTCCACTGGCATATTTTGCTTTCATCATCTAATATTCCTGTTTCCTCCCCTCAGGTCATACACCCCGTCACAAACTCCAGCTGAACTAACTTGGACAGGAGGATCTTCCCTAACAGCTCTGGTAGGTTCTTTATGCAGCTGCTCTTTCTCCCATTGTCTAAGTTCTTCTTGGATAACACCCCAAGTAGGCTAAATTTCTGACTGGTAAAATCTGCTACATAGGCTTTATTAATTTTACTTAGCTCTTCTAAAGCCTTTGAAATAAGAAGGATATAAAAGCTAAAACCCAGTACCACACTACATTAAAATAGCAATAATAACGAAACCTACATACCACTTGTACATCTGAAGGGACTCTGGAAAGGAAGTCAAGTAGTTCATTGTTATCAATTGCATATGGACTCCGAAGCTTTTTTGTAAATTTATTGATGCCTGAAACAAAGTTGGAGTTAAACAAAGCACATTTTTGTCAAAAGTGTTGTAGTAATTTGAAGATCTAACTTGTATGCCAATGACTCAGTGAACCAGTACACCCAATTTTTTCCCTCTCCTTTTTTTTCTCCTTCATTTCTTCCTCCTTCCCAGCTCAGCTGCTGCTTTTTCACTTTGTACTTCAGTAGCTTCTTCCAAGCAGGAAAGGCTTTCTATGTGGAAATAAAGGAGGTGCCTGGGGGTAATTAGCAATATCTGACTTTTTTTCCCCCCTCTGTTACAGTCTACTGAGAAGCCTTGCTTGAGTGTTTCATTTATGATGAAACTTGCTTTCCTACTTTTTGGGTTAAGATTGTTAAGGCAAGATGTCAAACTTATTTGGTTTCCCCTTTTCCAAAAGATGCACCTTTTTGGAGGTGGGGGTGTGTGCTGCTGTTATGCCAGCTAAATGTTTAGAAGACACATGATGTTTATTTTTTTCAAACCTGAAATGAAAAGGTTTGCCCCCAACTTTGTAAAACAAAATAAACAAACACCTTTACATGAAATCAACAAATTGGTAAAAACTGAGCCATAAACTAGAGCATCCTGCCTCCTCTTCAGGGAGTTCATGCAGAATAAACTTCTGGAATCTTGATTTTGGTCCGTCTCCTCATGTAAGACCTATGTCTTAAATTTCTGGCTAATATTTCAGCAATCACCTACCACTAAAGGAATACTGTTCTTGTTTTATTTTGTTTGATGAAACAAGAGGCCCAAACACATTCTGCAAAATTACTTTTAAGACAGCTAGTCAGTGAGGGCACTGCAGGTTACACAGCTAGATGTCTGCCCTGGGCTCCAGTTTCTGCGAACCTGGGAGAACAGGGCATTCACCACCACCTGCTGCAACAGAGATGACTCCCCAAGCCAAGGCAAGGTAGATTCGAGTTAATAAACCACCACACATGACATTCTACCCTAATTTTTTCTGTAAAGCAGCATCTTAACAGGAAAAAAAAAAGATGAACATACAATAGGAAGCAAGAACGTAGTAGAAATTATTGTTCCCTTATATAATGAAAGTGCTGGCTAAATTGAATTTCTTTGAATTATAGAAATTAGGAAAGGAAAAAATAATTACCATTTCCCCCACCTCTCACCTAGACTGTAAGGGTAATTATAGTGATAATAAGGGGTAAGAAGGCTTCCTCAATATATGGCAAGTTGGGCCAAAAAGACTATTACTGGAAATAGTAATCTTCAAAAGTGGAAGGCTTGGAGTCATCAGACTTGAACTCACTTTATTCCAATATATTTCTTCAAAAGCCTTAAAAAGAAAAGAATTTTGCTTTCAGTGTAAGCACATGCTTTCCGAAGCTAAGACTCATGGTTCTTTGCATTTTGTATTTGATTTGTTTTAGCAATCTTAGGTGTATGTGTAAGCGGGTGAGGGGTAAGTAGAGAATTCTTCTACCCAGTCTTGTTTATATATTATTAATGTTATAGTAGATCCTAGAGACTGAAAATTGTTTTCCAAACCAAGAATTTTGTCAGGAAAGAAAAAAAGAAGAATGCTGCCACTGACAGTCTCCTAAATGAAGCCCAGGTGCATAAGAATCGTTGGCATGCAGCATAGTTGCATTACAAATTAGGACTGAAAAAAATCACCTTTAACGTAGGTCTTCATAGAAACATTCTTGTGTAGTACACATAAAAGGATCTTTTTGTTCCTGAGGAACCTGCAAGTACCGAGGACCCTTTTCCCAAATGCTAAAGGTGACCTCTTAAACAGGCAGCCATGTATAGTACCATGTTTACATATACTTCCACAAGATAAAATACAACAGCAAGAAAAGCATATTTTCCTAAATGCCCCATATGGATTGAAAGGATTGAAATGCCTCTGTTTGTATATCAATGGTGAAAATAAATCAGAGGGATATCTAGACAAAGCTACACTTTGATATATGAAGAATCTGCACAGCTAACATGTTTATAGTATGATGAAGCCTAGTGTGCCAGATAAGAAAAATACATTTTGCAGGTAGACCTAAATCTTTATACTGTTGTGATTTTTAACTGGCCTGTCTCCTTTCATCATGGAGTAGCTTCATGACCATAAATACAGGGAACCGCTGACAGTATAACTCATCTCTTAAACATAGTTTGTTCCTAGCAGCTAAGACAGTTTAGGGGAGTGGGGGAGGCTTTACTTACCCCAGACAAGGACAATGTATCTCAGCGGAATGCAGTACAGGATGACTGTGAACACACAGAGGGCTACAATGGCCAGCCAGCTTAAGAATGGGACGGTCCAGTTGAAAGTGCTGAATGGAAAATTAACACATCAGCAATCTGAGTACTTCATACTTTTTTCAAATACTAAAATACTTAATGATTCTTACTTGGGACCTAGTTAGTCTGCATTTCTCTCTGGAATAGATTCCAGTTGTAATAGGTTATCAGAGGACCCAGGCTAGCCAGAATCTGCTCAGTTGCATGAACACAGGGCCCAGGTAAACAGTCTTGCTGCCAACTCCTCCAGATTGTTCCAGGTGACTTCAGAGTCTAAAGCCGTTGTGCTACTTGGGTGACTCCCCACATGAAAGAAGATCTTTATTTTTCTACTGCTAAGACTAGTACCCATCCTTGTTTTCTCTGGCTTTTCAGAGGGGAATGCCTCTGGACCCACCATTCTTCCTTCTATCAACTCTCGGTATTCCCCACATTGGGAATAAAATGTTGCCAGCAACTCTTGGTAGATGTAAATCTTACATGGTTGTGTAAAAAATCCTCTGAATGTTAGAATTCCTTAGAGGAATATACTCACTTGTCCTACCTCAGCTATATTTCAAATAGAACTGGAAACCAGGAAAGAGGAATAGAACAGTTAGCCTTGCAAAACTTCACTTCTTATCATTGCCCTTCTTCCCAGAAATACATATATAATTAAGAAAATGAGCATTGCTTACTATTATCTCTCATGTACTTCTTGTAAAGGACACCATTCTGGCAAAAGTAATTGGTAACATAGATGGCTGGGTCAGAGAAGGCTGCAAGACTCAGTATTGACAAGACATGATAACAAATGGAAATGAGACCAGTGAACAGAAGAAGTTACCAAAAAAAAGTACTGAGGAGATAGGAAGGAATTTACCGAGACAAAAAGAAAAATGAAGACAAAGGCAAAAACTATGATGTAAAAATGTTTTTAAAAGAGTAGAAAAATCAAGGAAATGGAACATGGGAAGATTATAATCACTTAAGGCTTTTTGGTGGAAGCCAGTCTGGTACTTCTTAAGAGTGTGCCAAAATTATAAAGAAAATAGAAACACTGTGTAGCTCCTCCAGGGTTGGGCATATAAATATATCACCATTTACAGGCATACCATTGCATTCTTTGAAATTTCTCCTAAGTGTTCATCCACTAAAGGGGAACTAACATATCATGTCATCTGACCCTTTAGCATGAGAGCCAAGAAGTTAGCTGATCTGTATTCAAAGCCTAGATTTTGTTATGTGGATTTAGCTGAGTCAAAACCCTTTCCCCATTTATAAAATGGGGATAGTTTATTCTGTCAAGGAAGACGGGTTGTGGTGGTAACATGCTTATGTGAATCAAGGTGAAATTATCAGAACTAATCAACTCAAGGAATCTCATTTATGGCACTATTTTCTTACGAGACAGTGAGAAGGCCCCTAAGACACTTCAGCAAAACATATTGTTCATGTAGATAAATGTTAGTGTTTTTTATTTCTTCTAATTTCCTAGTATTGTATATTGTACTTACTTGAGGTGAATTTATTTTCAGGGCAATTTTGACCAAATAAAGGAAGATTGCTAAAAGATTTTCTTCCATACAATGCCTCAGCATAATCCTTAGGAATTAGTTGTTCCTTAGCTTTGTAGCATGTAGCTTGCTTTCTTTCTCTCTCTAGGTCAAAATTGTTTCCTGAAATTTTTTTCTACTAAAAGAGCCAATGTTGGGTCAATCTGGTTACCCTAGTTTCAGTAATCCTTGGGATCTGGCTTTTCTGTCTTTGTCTTCTTCCTCTTATGGTCAAGAGTGAGTATCTGTAACTCATGAGGTAAAGGATCATGCCTTCCCTTCCGATGGACACCTGTGCCTCCCTTGCTTCTGCTTGCTTGTGGAGAGAACAGAAGGCTAAGGGATCTGCTTGTTTTCATGTGGCTCAGCTTAGAGTCATCCATCACACAACTCCATGTGTGAGGGCACTGGCTCTTCACTCAGAAAACCTTCCTTCTGGGCAGCCCCACTGAAGAATTCCCTGTGTTCTCCTTACTCCTATTGGAAGGATAAATGGCAAAGAATCCCCACCAGTGTAGCTGTTAGAAAAATAAAATAAAATAAAACTGCCCTTTTCTATTTCTACACTCTGCATTATGGAATCTAAATCTAGAATATGATCTTCCCCCAAAAGGGATGCAATTCAAGAAAGTTCTGGAATGATTATTTAGTAACAAGACATGGTAATTCTTTTTGTGCTTAAAGATTGCTTCTGAATCTGCTTTCTGGATAGATGCTTTTAATTCCATGTGACCCCAGGAGAATTTCTCTTTTTTAGCATCCAAAAGATCATTTTGCGGGAGAGATGGCTCCTCCAAGACTCACTGGTTCCTGTGCCATCTTCCTGTACCTTAGCATAGGAAGTTCTGCAAAACCCAGGTTTCCCTAAGGCTGAACCACTGCCAAGATCTGGTGGTCATATCCCTCAGCTAGTCATGTTTTCCAGCCAAGCATCTGTTCTGAGGCCTTCTACCACCTAGAGTTACAAAGGAGCTTCTTCCTCTCAGGCGTTCACTGCCTGATCCATGGTATTTTGGTATAAATCAGATGTTTTTGTCGGGTATCAGCACACTGTGTACCCCAGATAAAAGACAACACTCAATGGGGAAATGCCCCAAATTCAGGGCTTCACACTGTTTCAGTGGATAGCGTGTAGAGGACAGGTAAACATTCTTGGAGATGAGAGGAAGAAGGAGAGAGAAAAGATACGGGAATGGTCTTCAGCAGGCCAAGACTGAATGTTTCCTAAAGGCACATCTGGGAGTGAGAGGGGGCTGTTCTGCTAATACAATGTAAGAAAGTGGAAACTCAGCACCTACACATGCGGAAATATATTAAACAAAAAATTATACAAAATAAAATGCATTATCCCTTGCAACATGACAGGTACCAGAGGAATGACTCACACCTTTAGTTTAAATAATTTACTCCTTTCAAATTCTGTGTATGCCCAAGGATTCAGATCTGTAGAAAACTTTTGGTTATGAATAACAAACAATGAATAGATACATTAAACTAAGAAAATAAAGGTTTCTCCAGAATTTGGCACCCCTTCTTGAATAGACCATTAGCAATCATTATGTCGGCCAATTTTTACCTAATTTAGAAGTATGAGGGTCTTAGTGTATCTTTTAACTGATAATTGTTGTAAATACAGTTTTTAAAAAATATAACATTGTTTTAGATAAAACATAAGTATGTAAGATTAAGAATGTAAGTTTCTTAATTTTGCATTAGAGCTCAGTGAAGCTCTATTTCTTAATTTTAAAGTCAAGGAAAAGGAATGCTGTTTTTATAATTTTAAAAATTGTGTGTATTTTCTAAATGAAAGAGCATTAGTTTATTGATAATTATGGATCTCAGCTATTTAAATACAAACTTGAAAAAAATATTTTTGCAGGGTACCATAAATACAATTTTGAAAAAAATTTAGTGTCACTTGATGAAAATATAACTAGACCAATAATAAAATGCAGGTGTATCTTAATTACCTGAAGTCCTCATTTAGCTTGGTTTATTTTTTTCCTATCACAATTTCATATTCCGTTTAAGAACAAAGTCTTTCACAGTGAAAAATGTGCTAAAATTTAGGACGGTGTTATTTCTTCAAAGCTACAAGTATGACTTCTTTCCAACCAATATGTTCTAAATTTCAGGAAGGAAATTGACAGAACTTTCATAAAGCCAAAGACTGGCAGAAATAAAGTAAATAATGATGAAACTGAGCAATAGAGCACCCAGAAGGAGTGTCCCCTGCCAAAAAGAATGTGGCATTTCACCCTTCGAGAAACAAATGGACACCCTGTCCCACAGAAGACCGGGGCTCACATGTCACCGTCACTCACTTCTTTATCCTTTCGCCAAAGGAAGCCACTTCATCTAGGATGTTCTGGACACTGACACAAACCTCCTGGATGGCATAGATTTTATTTATAAATCCCTTTTTTTCACTGTCCTAAAATGCAATAAAAAAGAAATTCTGTATGAGTAAAGGTATTCTTCATTGCTTGAATTATTTCTGTTGTCCCTCTCTTGCATTTTTAAACTTAACTTCATTTTTGTGTGTATATAAATGGATAATTGGAACCCATGAAAATATCAGGATTTTAAGGAACATGAGGAGAAAGGGGACCCAGCGTCATGGATTTGTACTTATAAAGACAGCTGCAAAGCAAGAGCCTCGGGTTCCTTTGCTCTTGCTCTGGATGAGCAGAACATACATTTGGGGGAGGAAGGTATAAGAGAGAGGGGAGGTCCCAGAATTACCAAACCCGGATTCTACAGTGCTTCTGGATTCACCGAGACATACTTAGCGGACCCAGCTTCTTGACCCCACCACCCATAAACCTAACTTTTGTTGTGGCTCTAGATTTTTTCAGCAGCAGAGAATGCTGGATGCACTTGAGATTTGTGAGCAATGAAAACTGCAAAAAAAAAAAAACACCACCAAAACCCGGAATCTACTATGTGGATACTACTTAGATCATATACAAACTAAGCCTGACCATCTTCTTAAAAATAATAGTCATATTTTATACAGTAGTATATGCTGTATTTTTTTTTTTGTTTTTTTTTTTTGTTTTTTTTTTTTTTTGAGGCGGAGTCTTGCTCTGTCGCCCAGGCTGGCGTGCAGTGGCACTATCTCGGCTCACTGCAAGCTCCGCCTCCTGGGTTCACGCCATTCTCCTGCCTCAGCCTCCCGAGTAGCTGGGACTACAGGCGCCTGCCACCACGCCCGGCTAATTTTTTTGTATTTTTAGTAGAGATGGGGTTTCGCCGTGTTAGCCAGGATGGTCTCGATCTCCTGACCTCGTGATCCACCCGTCTCGGCCTCCCAAAGTGCTGGGATTACAGGCTTGAGCCACCGCGCCCGGCCATTAGGTTCTAACTAAACATTTTTTCCCCTTTTTGGTGCTTAGTTCATTTTAAAACACTGAATTTAAGCAAAGCTGGTGTGCTCCAGGTCATGGATGGGTGGAGATTAAGCATTAAATTTAAGCACCTAGAGAGTGGAGTGACCTTAGGAGAAATGTGCATATTTTGCAATTTTAGACTCAAAGGAAGAAACAGTGGTGGCCTTTCACAATTGAAAATTCTGCTTAGTAGCCTGGCATCACAGGCACTTGCCTAGGCTGTTTGGTGGAGACCATCCAACCCTGATTCTATGACTCCATTCCTCCATGCCAGCTTGAATATCTATGGAAATGTAGATCCAATTTCATTACTTTAACTTCTTTTGAACACTTGCACACTATGCCAGAACACTTGAGACCTCATGTGGCAGTCAGTGCTTGCTGAAAGCAGCCAGGAAGCTAGAATAATAATGTCATGTTGCACATTTACATACTGACTTTCATTTCAGAAGAGTCTAAAGCACTCTACACTGTGAACACTTGGCCAGGGCTGGCATCCCGCCACTTCAGAAACTGCAGGCAAGTGAATGACAGATGTGTGTGCCTCCTCCAAGGACAACAGGGTACACTGGGACCAAGGACATGGAGGCCAGTTTTATAACGATCTTTGGTATAGATACCAGTTACTTAGAGTCTTAATTTTAAATTTAATTCACATGGGAGAAATGTGTCTATTATTCATCTTGCTTATGCCAAAATGGATTGTCAATTAGGTAGACAAGACGCATAAAGCTTAAATAGTATTGGGAACAGTTAGCTACTCAGGGTTCCCTACTGTCTTCAGAAGTCACCATTCACTTGTCATGACAGACGTTGGTCCATCAATTTATCTTTCACACTCTCCAGTAAAAAAAAAAAAAAAAAAAAAAGTTAGGAAAAAAAAAGTTAGTTTCACCTATACAATTGTGCACGTTAGAGTAAAATGAGTAACCAGTGGCTTTTTCCTGTTCCTTTCAAAACTAGAAAGTTGGTCTGCCCCAACTGTGTGTTCCTTAGTATTCTCAAGCACCAGCTAAGTTCATTTATGTCTGTGAAGCAAAGTACTCATAAATATTTATCCACATACGGAATAAGTCAAACTGGAGTTGAAGCATGCTGGTTGTACAATGGAAGTCCACTGAGAATGTCTTTCACCTCAAAATTATGTGAAAAAATATTTCACAGAAACAAAATATATGAAATACCTAGGTAAAACTTCAGCAGGAAATGTACAAAATATATAAAGTTTTTTTTTTTCCAGTTGAATATATAGGCTTAATGAAATTTCAGGCAAATCCTAATGTTTAGATTGGAGAAAACGGGGAGAACTTAATAGTGTTTTTAAAGTTTGTTGGACAAATAAATAGGTAACTAGCTAAGAAATTTTACAAAAAAGTAATCATGAGAAGGCATTCTCTTTACCCGATATTTAATTAAAATGAGATATGGGCATCAAAAGACTGGTATATGATAAGGTGCCATGCACAAAGGAAATAAGTATTGTTACTGGGCATTTAACTGGGGAAAGTTATGTTAAATCCTACCTAAAATAGACATTCACATCTGAGATAGCCAAAATCTATCTTAGTATCTGTCTCAAATAGCCCCCAATACATTCCATATTAATGTTAAGAAGTTTTTTTAAAAACAGTATCTACCATAATGAAGTTGGCTTCATCCCTGGGATGCAAGGCTGATTCAACATACACAAATGAATAAATTCATCACATAAACAGAACTAAAAACCACATGATTATCTCAATAGACGTGAAAAAGGCCTTCAATAAAATTCAACATCCCTTCAAGTTAAAAACTCAATAAACTAGGTATTGATGGAACATACCTCAAAATAATAAGGACCATTTATGACAAACCCACAGCCAATATCATACTGAATGGGCAAAAGCTGGAAGTATTCCCCTTGAAATCTGGCACAAGATAAGGATGCCCTCTCTCACCACTCCTATTCAACATAGTATTGGAAGTTCTGGTCAGGGCAATCAGGCAAGAGAGAAATAAAGGGTACTCACATAGGAACATAGGAAGTTAAACTGTCTCTGTTTGCAGATGACATGATCCTGTATCTAGAAAACCCTATTGTCTCAATCCTAAAGTTTCTTAAGCTGATAAGCAACTTCAGCAAAGTCTCAGGATATAAAAATCAATGTGCAAAATTGCTAGCATTCCTATACACCAACAGTAGACAAGTAGAGAGCCAAATCATGAATCAACTCCCATTCACAATTGCTACAAAGAGAATAAAATACCTAGGAATACAGTTAACAAGGGAAGGGAAGGACCTCTTCAAGGAGAACTATAAACCACTGCTCAAGGAAATCAGAGGACACAAACAAATGGGAAAATATTTCATGCTCATGGATAAGAAGAATCATTATTGTGAAAATGGCCATACTACCCAAAGTAATTTATAGATTCAATGCTATTCCCATCAAACTACCACTGACATTCTTCACAGAATTAGAAAAAACTTCTTCTTTAAAATTAATATGGAACCAAAAAAGAGCCTGTATAGCTAAGACAATCCTAAGCAAAAAGAGCAAAGCTGGAGGCATCATGCTACCTGACTTCAAACTATATTACAAGGCTACAGTAACCAAAACAGCATGGTACTGGTACAAAAACAGACACATACACCAACAGAATAGAAAAGAGATCTCAGAAATAAGACCGCACATCTACAACCATCTGATCTTTGACAAAGTTGACAAAAACAAGCAATGAGGAAAGGATTCCTTGTATAATTAACAGTCCTGGAAAAACTGGCTAGCCATATGCAGAAAACTGAAACTGGACCCCTTTCTTACACCTTATACAAAAATTAACTCAAGATGGATTAAAGACTTAGATGTAAAACCCAAAACTATAAAAACCGCAGAAGAAAATCTAGACAATACCACGGGCGTACGCACAGGCAAAGATTTCATGACAAAAACGTCTAAAGCGAACATTCTGCTTTGCAACCAACATTTTGGTTGCAGTGAAACCAAAGTAAAAATCAACAAATGGGATCTAATTAAACTAAAGAGCTTCTGCATAGCAAAAGAAATCAGAGCAAACAGACAGCTTACAGAATGGCAGAAAATTTTTTCAATCACTCTGACAAAGGTCTAATATCCAGAATCTACAAGGAACTTAAATTTACAAGAAAAATCCATTAAAAAGTAGGCAAAGGACATGAACAGACACTTCACAAAAGAAGACTTACTATTATTTTCGACATGAAGTTTCTCTCTTGTTGCCCAGGCTGCAGTGCGATGGTGGGATCTCAGCTCACTGCAACCTCCACCTCCCAGGTTCAAGCGATTCTCCTGCCTCAGCCTCCCAAGTAGCTGGTATTACAGGCATGTACCACCACACCTGGCTAACGTTTTGTATTTTTAGTAGAGACAGGGTTTCACCATGTTTGCCAGGCTGGTCTCGAACTCCTGACCTCGGGTGATCCACCCACCTTGGCCTCCCAAAGTGCTGGGATTACAGGCGTGAGCCACTGTGCCCAGCCCAAAAGACATTTATGCAGTCAACAAACTTATGAAAAAAAGCTCAACATCAGTGATCATTAGAGAAATGAAAATCAAAACCACAATGAGATACCATATCATGCCAGTCAGAATGGCTATTATTAAAAAGTCAAGAAACAACAGATGCTGGTGAGGCTATGGAGAAATAGGAATACTTTTACACTGTTGGTGGGACTGTAAACTAGTTCAACCATTGTAGAAGACAGTGTGGTGATTGCTCAAAGACCTAGAACCAGAAATACCATTTGACCCAGCAATCCCATTACTGGGTATATACCCAAAGGAATATACATTATTTTATTATAAAGATACATGCACATGTATGTTAATTGCAGACTATTCACAAAAGCAAAGACATGGAATCAACCCAAATGCCCATCAGTGCTTAAGTGATAGACTGGATAAAGAAAATGTGGTACATATATACCATGGGATACTATGCAGACATAAAAAGGAACTAGATCATGTCCTTTGCAGGTACATGGATGGAGTTGGAAGCCATTATCCTCAGCAAACTAATGCAGGAACAGAAAACCAAACACCACATGTTCTCACTTATAAGTGGGAGCTAAACAATGAGAACAGATAGACAAAGAGAGGGGAACAGCAAACACTGGGATCTGCAGGTGGTGGTGGCGGTGGGGGGCAGTGATGTGGGGAGGGAGGGCATCAGGATAAATAGCTAATGCATACAAGGCTTAATACCTAGGTGATGGGTTGATAGGTGCAGCAAACCACCATGGCACATGTTTACCTATGTAACAAATCTGCATGTCCTGCACATGTGTCCTGGAACTTAAAATATAATTAAATTTTTTTAAAAAGTTAAAAGCAAAAATGAATTATGAAAAGACAATACAGGGAAGTTATTTACTGACCTTGGAATAGGAAAGAACTTTCTAAATGTACAAAAAGTAAAATAAATTACAAAGGAAAATAATTTATAGCAATGGTTACATAAAATTTAAAACATGTCAAAAGTCATAAATTTAAAAGGCTAAGTGGGAAAA